TTGGGAAGAAGCTTCTAGGTCATCAGATGAAAAGAACACAGGGCTAGTCACCCCTGATCCCCCCCCCCCCATTTATGATAGAGTTATTTGAAAATACAAAAAGGCTAAGCAACATACCAATGTGATCCTTGACTCCTTATGGCAAGTTAACGCAAGTGAATTTATGAAGAAAGTTTTCACTCAGTTTGACCTATGTCTAGTCAGAGGTGAGCCTTGTTGTCTTGGGATGCATCTTCACTAGAGTTAATGCAGTTTGACAGCACTTTAACTGCCATGGCTCAATGCTATAGAGCCATGGGAGTTGGAATTTTACAACTGTTCTAACCATTACTGCCAAAGAGCATTGATGTTGCCCCAAACTACAGCTCCCAGGATTCCATAGCACTGAGTCACGTCAGTTCGAGTGGTGTTTAACTGCATTAACTCTACAGTGCAGATGCAGCCCAATTAATAGGACTGACTTTCAGATAAATGTTTCTCTTACAGCCATCAGAACTCATGACAAGTCCACCTCAGTTTAAAAAGTAAATTTGTTCCCAGACAGAACTTCTTTACCAGAGCCAGAAATAATATGGAAAGTAGGGATACATCCCAGCACCACAAAAATAAGATTTGTTCAACATGTTTCAGCAAAGTCTTTATTCAAAACTAACAAAATACACATACTCAGATAAGCCTTGTGTAACTAAAAAGATACTTTCTGAACCTCTTAAAAGACCATTTGAAAGTTTAATCTAAACACTATCCAATATTTTTCTTTTTTTTGCCAGTACCTACGTTTCTTATGATTTCCATTTTGGAAAAATACTGTTAAAAAGTGCTTTTTTGACAGAGATTTTGTTAAGTGATATGTGTCTACCATATATAGTAAAGAGAATTCACCACTTGTTTCAAGTAGGGATGCAGTAGAAAAGATACATTGATCCACATGTTTGCATTGCCTCCAAATGAAAAGGTTCTGCATTCAGGTTCTTAGAGAAACACAATTTTTCTTCAGTTAGATCTGACACTTGTTTTTGACAAACTTTTGGCATCTGTATCCAAAAATGACCCCAGTTTTTTCTATCATGTCAACATTTTAAAGTACAGGATACTCTCCCTTTATCCCAAAAATCATACAAAATGTACATACAAAGGAAAATAAATAAAACATTACCTGAATATAGTGTTTATTTAGATTTATTTTATTCACACCAAGGCTATATACAAGTCAAATTTTATATTTAGATGCTTATTTAAGTCTAATCGAACTCAACAGGAATTATGTCAAAAATTATGTCAAAAATTGTTCTCTGGTATGTGAAATAGCTCTCCCACCTGATTTTGGAGAATACTTCATATGTTGTTTATTGTTAGAAGTATAAACAACTGGTCTGCTTGTTACTGGCAGCAGCAAGACTGGAAATTGCAGCCCAGTGGAAAACTGTTTCCAAATCATTACTTCTACAAGAGGTTGACAAGGTCTGAAAGTCTGTGTTATCAGGAAAAAACATATGCATTAGCTGACGTATATCTTGCCTTGGGAGAACTCATGTTAAGGATGTTCATCTTGTTTTATTAACTGAATATTGGTATTTGTTTGCAAAACATCCAGTGACTTAATTTTATGAAGGATATTTGATATATTGCTTGTAAAGCAAAGCAATAGTCATACATTTTAAAAATGAAAGACATTCACGTTCAGCACCAAAGGATGTAGCAATTAATAGTTTTAATTTAGTACAAAGCTTCAAAGAACATAAAGCAGCCAATTTGGTTAGTCATCAGTTTATATTATCATCAATATGTTAGTCATCGGTTTATTTTATCATCAATATGTTAGTCATCAGTATATTGTATCCTCAGTTAATTGTGGTCTAGAATTCAGAAACATTCAGTGTCTTAATCTATATTCCAGATAGGGAACCTCTGGTCGTGTTTCAGATTTAAACTACCAAGCCTCTTATGAAGTCACTGGCCCCAAAGGAGTAGGAGAGACCTCCTCTCTGATGAACAGCTTCAAGGATTTGTTCTGGGAAGCCAAGGTGCTTCTACATTGTAGAATTAATGCAGCTTTCATGCCTGAAATTTAGTATTTCAAGCCCTGCGGAAACCAAGGGATGCCTTACAATCTTCGCTAACTGCAGATGTTCTGGAAGAGCAACCAAAAGCCTTACCAGGTTGAAGGCAAATGGCAGAGACTTTATTCAGTCAGCACAGAAAGGACATATGTACAGCAAGAGGTGCTCAAAAGATACAAGTCAGGCATGTAGCCGGGGGGGGGGGGGGGCTTGAGGGGCTTCAGCCCCCCCCCAAATTCTCATGGTGGTTCACGAAAAGGCCTTACTGGTGCATTATTTAAACTGTTATGTTCATTCATATCATGATCTGATCACCCTACTCAGAATATCCAATATGCATGGGGGTATTGGGGTAATGATACAAAAGGTTTGCTAGGGTAGACCCTCTTTTACTCGGACTCAGCCCCCCCTGAAGGGACATTATCATTATTAATGTCATCTATATAGGGGAGACACCATTGTGTCCTAAGTGCAGAAGTGCAGGAATGGCAATAGACCACTAGGGGGGACTGGCAAACCATACCTCCGAAGGGAACGTTGCAGATTCCAGTCCTCTGACACTTATGCTCCACACCTTTCTGGCAAGGGGATGCAGGGGGCATCATGACCTGGGACTGGAGGCAGGCCGCCCTCCCCAGATGCATACACTGTTCCTAACCAACTGACCATGTATGGACACTACCCTTGAAGACAGGAAGGATGACATCACCTGTTGCTGACCTTACCTACAGATTACCTCACCCTTGAAAATCCAACCAATCACTTGACAATTATGTAATCCCCCACTGTTGCTATGCAGACTTTGCTAAAGAGCACAAAAACCTATATAAGCTTTGCTTAGAAAACAATAAAAAGGTCATCATCATTCACTTCTACACCCTGCCTCCCGTCTGGTCATTCTCGCGTTCACAACACCCCCCCCCCCCAAATCGAAATCCTGGCTACGGGCCTGATACAAGTGTAAAAGTATAATCATAAACCGGACATTTTTATACACAAGATTTTTCATGCATTAACATTTTGAACCTCCCTCCCTTTCCCTAATTGGCCAGCACCAAAAAAGCCAGATGGCATTTTCTCGGTCTCTGATTGGCTGAGAGATGGCCTTAGTGCACACCCTGCTTGGTGGAGGCTGCGATGATGTGACTGGGGGATCTCCTCCCAGTTTGGATTGCAACTTAGTTGGGAGAGAATGAGGCCATTGTTGCACTCCAGGACAGGAAAAGCCCTCTGACTGTAAACACCACACCGTTGATAGGAAAGCAATCCTTTTATTGAAGACAGTTAAAAAGGAGCAAGTAAAAAGCACTTTAAAGAAATAAGTAAATCCAATGAGGTAGGAGGATAAGCAAGAGTAAAAATAGTCTAGGGTAAAGTTCAGCAAAGTCCATAAAAAAAAGTCCACAGTCCTTTAATATAATTCAGGAAAACAGGAAACATTAATCCAAGGCACGAGTAGGCATTCATACATTCCAAGAGTCCAAACCATGAACAAGAAATACTTAGACAAGAATCTTCCAAGCAAAGCTTCCATGAAACAAAGGGCGAGAACTAGACTTGAATCCAACGATGCTTCATCTGACTATATTTCCCATACTTGGAACTTTTATCCCCTCATTAAGCTATTCCATGCACTCAGGAATTGGTTTCGCTTTACTTGAGATCCCCTTATCTTTTTCTGTGGAGCCTGCCTGTTTTGACTAATTTCCTCTCACCTATCTATTTGTTCATTAAGTCTCGCAGCTGGGCCAGGTGCCCAGTTGTTTTCAAGCCCCAAATCCTGGGAACTCTTTGGTAACAATTCAGGGAGTACACTATCATCCCCACACCCTTCAGGGACATTCTCATGGGAAACTACACTTTGCACAGGGGCCTCCTGGTCCTTCTCTGCATCAGTATCATTGCCTAAACCATTGCCATCTTGAAATTCATTGGCATCACTTCCCACATCCAAAGCACCCTGATCATGAAAGACAACCACAGGCTGAACTCCAACAGCCATGAGCTGATCTCCAACAAAGCTATGGAAATAAGCTACTGTGGACCAGCTCAGGTTGAGCTGGGATGTGTAAATGTGTGTGAGTTGGGGGCTACCCAGTGAGGATTGTTGGTGGTCCTGGGAGGCTGCAGGGACAGTGGCCATTGCCATTCATCTGGCCCTTCCTTGGGAAACTATAACTTTCCGAAGATGGAACTATGTCTCTTTTTATTTATCGTGTTCAATAACAGTTTGACAACACTTTTAGGGAAGTTGTTTAGTGAGGGTCCGGCACTCTTTGGAATGGAGGTTAAAGTTCTTGTAAAACTACAGTCCCCACGATTCCACAGCACTGAGCCATGACAGTTGTAGTGGTATCAAACTGCATTAATTCTACAGTTTAGATGCACTCTTAAGAGTGTGTTCTGATGCAGATTTCGATAGAAAAGCCCAAAAATTCCTATTTTAGAGAATGTATTTATTTCTCCTACTACTGGGACTTGTGAAATGGTCTTTTTAATACAACTATTAAAAAATAAGATGTAATATCAAAACAAATCAATCCTATGAAAAGTAACCCACATAAAAGCAATTTTAAAACATAACAATAGCGGGGAAATGAGGAATACGTCCTTTATTTTCAGAAATAGTTTCTGGTGTTGACCTATTCGAGGAATTTGAGATAAGAGAACATGAAGGCTGAAACCTAGGAAAGCATCAGTCACAAAATACTGCGCTAGGAGGAGTTCGCCGGCTCTGCGCAGCGCCACCTGACGGCCGCTGGGCTGTATTGCAACGCCAAAAGCCTGAGGATTACCTCATCTTCACCGGCTCCGTTCGGCTCCACCGCACCTGGCAAGCCCCGCCCTCTACGCGCCACTTACTCTCAACAATACGCCACGCCCACCACCTTGGCTCCTCCCCCAGCCTGTCCCAGAGGAGCGTCTGCAGTAAGGCGAAAAAGTCTCGCCTGTTTTGTTCTAGTTCGCGCATGCGCGGGGGTTGTGACGTCACGGAACCCGGAAGGAGCCGAAGGGGCAACATGTGCGGCGGATGCGTCAAAACCGAGTATCCCTCCCGGGTAAGGAGGGGGCGGCCCAGTTTGTGAGAGGAAATAGACGGCAGGCTAAATGTGATTCCCTGCGTGGCTTAAAAAGAAGGGCGCACCTACACTTAATACAGTTCAGTACCCTTTTGATTGCCATGGCTGTGGGGGAAAAGGAAAGGCCCCGAGGCTGTTAGGAATGGTGGGAGTTGAAGTCCAAAACACCTGGAGGGCCCATGCCTGGTGTAGACGCACTCCTAGTTAACTGAAGTATCCCTGAAGCTGTGGAAGTGAAAAGTTAAAGTTCAAAATGTGTGTCTGTAGGTAGGTGGGCTGGATCCATGCCTATCTCACCAGTGTCCCATTCATTCCCCATTTCTTTGTGTGCTGAAACTGGCATCTTGAGCACTTATTTATTTATTTATCGTGTCATCAGCAACCATACAATTGTATTACATTTCTAACAGAACAAAACAAACAAGCAGATTAAAAAAAACCCACAAATTTTGCAAACTTGGTAGTTGATTAAATGTCCTTTGACCAGTATCTGGCCACTTGGAGTGCCTCTGGTGTTGCCGCAAGAAGGCCCTCCATTGTGCATGTGGCAGGGCTCAGGGTGCATTGCAGCAGGTGGTCAGTGGTTTGCTCTTCTCCTATCTATTTGCTTACTCGCATGTTGTGGATTCAACTTTGTAGCCCCATTTCTTAAGATTGGCTCTGCATCTCGTGGTGCCAGAGCACAGTCTGTTCAGTGCCTTCCAAGTCACCCAGTCTTCTGTGTGCCCAGGAGGGAGTCTCTCATCTGGTATCACCCACGGATTGAGGTTCTGGGTTTGAGCCTGCCACTTTTGGACTCTTGCTTGCTGAGGTGTTCCAGCGAGTGTCTCTGTAGATCTAAGAAAACTATTTCTTGATTTAAGTCATTGACGTGCTGGCTGATACCCAAACAAGGGATGAGCTGGGGATGTCACTGTCTTGGTCCTTTCGCTATTGGCTGCTACTTCCTGGCGGATGTCAGGTGGTGCAATACTAACTAAGCAGTGTAATTTCTCCAGTGGTGTAGGGCGCAGACACCCTGTGATAATGCGGCATGTCTCCTTAAGAGCCACACCCACTGTTTTAGTGTGGTGAGATGTGTTCCACACTCGACATGCATACTCAGCAGCAGAGTAGCATAGCACAAGGGCAGATGTCTTCACTGTGTCTGGTTGTGATCCCCAGGTTGTGCCAGTCAGCTTTCGTATGATATTATTTCTAGTGCCCACTTTTTGCTTGATGTTCAGGCAGTGCTTCTTGTAGGTCAGAGCACGGTCCAGAGTGACTCCCAGGTATTTGGGTGCGCTGCAATGCTCCAGTGGGATTCCTTCCCAGGTGATCCTCAGAGCTCGGGATGCTTGTCTGTTCTTAAGGTGAAAGGCACATGTCTGTGTTTTAGATGGATTAGGGATCAGTTGGTTTTCCCTGTAATAGGCAGTAAGAGCACCTAGAGCTTCGGAGAGCTTCTGTTCAACCATCTCAAAGCTCCCTGCTTGAGCGGTAATGGCACGATCATCAGCATAGATGAAACTCTCTGTTCCTTCTGGCAGTGGCTGGTCATTTGTGTAGATGTTGAACATGGATGGAGCAAGCACGCTCCCCTGAGGCAGGCCGTTCTTCTGTTTCCGCCATCTGCTTCTCTGGCCCTGGAACTCAACAAAGAAGCTCCTGTTTTGTAGCGGGTTTCCTATGAGGCGGGTGTGGTAGTCCTTTGTGATATTATACATTTTTCTCAGGAGGAGGCGGTGGTTCACAGTATCATAGGCTGCTGACAGGTCTATGAAGACAGCTCCTGTGATCTGCTGCCTTTCAAAGCCATCTTCTATGTGCTGAGTCAGGTTCAGCACTTGCGATGTGCAGCTTTTGCCTTTCCTGAAGCCAGCTTGCTGTGGAATCAGACAGGGGTCTATTTTTTTCATAATTCTATGCAAAATAAGTCTCTCCAGAACTTTGTAGAGGTGGCACTCACAAGTGCTATACTTGAGCACTCACAAGTGCTATAAATTAATTATATGTAATTGAGGAGAACCAGTGAAAAGTCAAAGATCTGCCTCCATTCTTTGTCAAATGATCCGGTTCGTCTTAGTGGCTGCTTTTTGAGATAGATCAAAATTGTGGAGTGTGGTGGTCCTGTGAAAAAGTGATGCCTTTCTGGAAAATAATCCAAGTAGTAGTAATAATAATAATAATAATAATAATAATAATAATAATACACTTTATTTATACCCCGCCACCATCTCCCCCAATGGGGACTCGGAGCGGCTTACATGGGGCCAAGCCTGAACAACAGATTACAATACAAAAATACAAAATACAATAAAATAAACAACATAACATTAAAGATAAAGCATCAGAGGCCCCAGTTATTAATCTGGCTGCCCAGATTCAAAAGATTCTGAAAACAACTATTTTCTTAAAACCATATCAATTCCTCTTAGGGATGGGCAATATGTACTGGGATATAAACTCACACAAGTTGTTCGTTTCCCTAACATCAGCAGCACAAATGGTTCGTGTGAGAGTTTGGAGACAAAATAAAATACCGCATCAAAGGAAGATTGGCTAGAAATGATACTAAATATAATGAACATGGACCATCTGACTTTCCTATTAGCAAGACACCAGAATACACATATTAAGACAACAAACTGGAACCCCGTTAAGGAACTTAAAGATGTTGATATGAGGATAGCTCAGCACATAAGAATTACCGACGCTATATTATTTTGAGAGTAAGAAAGGAAAATCCAGTTGTTTTCCCCCCTCTTCTTAGTACCATTATAAAGAAGAATGGGAGTTTAATACGCCCTCCCTTTTTTCCTTTTTTTCCTTCTCTTTGTCTTCTTCTTCTTCTTCTTCTTCTTCTTCTTCTTCTTCTTCTTCTTCTTCTTCTTCTTCTTCTTCATGTCCCATCCATGTCTCCTGGTTATTCCCCCAATCCCGAACCCCAACCCGTTCCAATACCTAAGCCCTAACCCGATCCATGTCCTAACCCTACCCAAACTCCTTTAATGGTCCTTATGCCTTATCCTTTTAATGCTCACCCTTGAAAAGTTTCAATAAAAATTATTGAAATGAAAATTGTGGAGTGTTCCAGCTGCAGAGCTCACATGTAGTTTGGCCCACTGCGGTGGCACAATGGGTTAAACTCCTGTGCCAGATGAACTGCTGACCCAAAGGTAGGCAGTTCAATTCCATAAGACAGGGTGAGTTCCCCAGTCCCAGCTTCCCATGTAGAGACATGAGAAAAACCGCCCACAGAATGGTAACTCATCCAGCCATCCCCTGGGCAACATCTCTGCAGATGGTCAATTCTCTCACTTCTGACATAATTTTTTTAAAAAACCCATAGAATGATTTTTTTTATGCAGAGAGAACTAGTTACATAAACTTTTCTTTCCTGCTTGACTTATAGGGTAACACCTGTTTGGAGAATGGTTCCTACTTGCTGAACTATGTTGGTTGTACTGAATGCAAAAAGAGAGATTTTGTGATGATAACAAACAGAGCAAGAGAAGAAGAGGATGGAGAAGAGATTATCACTTATGACCGTAAGGAGGCTAAACATTTAAAGGGTTTGGTTTGTTCAAGGCATAGGAATTGTATTCCAGAAACCTCCATTTCTTTAAAAGTTTTATATGCCTAGAGGCACTTTTGATAATGGGTACAGATTAAGTATCCCTTATCCAAAATTAATTAATTAAAAACCGCATTGAGTCGCCTAATTAGGCTGAGAAACGCGGTATAGAAATAAAGCAAATAAATAAATAAATAAATTATTTGCCCTATTTATACCTCACCTTTTTCTACCCTAAGGGAGACTCACAACAACTTACATATGGCAACAATTCAATACCTTAAACACATATAAACATAAAGCTTAAAATCAATTGGATTAAAAAGTAATACAAAAATGTTTTGGATTTTGTTTTGTTTGTTTTATTTCAGAATACCTGTATTCGCATACACATACATAATGAGATATCTTAGAGATAGAACTGAAGTCCAAACAAAATTAATTTATGTTTCATACATACCTTATTGTATACATAGCCTGATAGTTATTCCTTACAATATTTTTAAATAAATTTGTGAATGAACATATGGTAGTTTGTGAACATTAAACCATCAGAAATAAAGCTGTCAGTATCTCAACCACCCATGTAAACAATTTTGAATTTTAGAATATTTTGGAATTCCAAATAAGGGATCTCAACCGGTACATTTTTAGAACCTCTTGCTGCTTTAAACCAATGGACCACACACATATGTGGACTAAACATAATCACACATATAGTCTATGTAGAGAAACATATATTTGTGCACATACATATTCATCATGCATGTGGCACTCTCCCCTAAAAGAAACTTTAGAAGGCAAGGGTGCAATTTTAAACATCTTGCCCTCTTTCTGCATGCTGTTGATTGGAAAGTAAAAGCCTCAACAAAAGTCCTAATGATCTGCCATTATGAGATCAGATATTGGAAACAGGATTTCCAGTGGAATTTCAGATGATTTCCTATTTTCTACCCTCCATTATGTCTGACAGAGATGGTTGTCCCATTATTGCTGGAATAGTTGGTGGCTATAGTATATTTTGCTTGGGGACCATAGCTATGCAGTCTTGATGACAGTGGTCTGAAGCCACAGGTTTTCTAGTAAAGTCACTTGCAAGTACTTTTTTGCAGCTCATGGAAATATTACTGATTTTTTTTGTAAAAGTTATCTACATGACCAGATCTTCTTGTAACTGTTTGAATGGAGAAAGCCTATGTTCCCTTTTCTTTCCATCACGCTCATGGGGAAATCTGTCTCCATATTTCCCTTTTCAGCTGGAGACCTCATTTCCTATAACATCTAAGAATATTTTCTCTCATCCTCTCTGCTGAGGGGCTATGAAACTTCCTGTCTGATGAAAGTCCAGTAGAATTGCTTAGAATTGTAATACAAGCTCCTTGGAGCGCTTTTGGGAATACTGTGAATCAATAAGAGAAGCAGTCTTTTTCTTATAATTGCCCATGTGATACCACTGTTTAGCAAAATTGGCTCTTTTGGGCATTAAGCTTACCTGTCAGTCCAAATTACTGAGACACTAGTTATTTAAAAAGCCGAGAACCTAGCCCTCTAGAGCAGTGATTTGCAACTTTTGCACTTGCTTGATGTTTTCAACTCCCAGAACCCCTGACCCTATCAATCGTGCTGTCTGAGGCTTCATGAAATCATGGTGGTGGAAGTTAAGTATGAAGTTATCTAAGGTTAAGCTCCATAGAACACACTTTGACTTATCTCTAAATACATATGCATAGGCTTGTATAGTTAATTACCTTACCTTGAGAAACCTATATAAAATGGTCTAACAACTATAGCAGGGGTCCCCAAACTACGGCCCGCGGGCCGTATGCGGCCCGCCGAGGGCATTTCTCCGGCCCGCGAGGCCTGGCCTGGCCTGGCCACGCCCACCCGGCGCCGCTCCGCCCATCGCGGGAACTCTCTGCTCTGGCCGCTCTGCTCGTGTGGGAGGGAGAAGCCTTTTGTAATTTACCTGCCTCTCCTTGGAGACCAGAGCGGCCGGAGCAGGGGGTTGCTGCAAAGGCCGGAGCGGCACAGGGTGGGCGTGGCCAGCGGCGTGGGGGTGGGCGTGGCCAGCGGCACCGGCCGGGCCACGCCCACCCGGCGCCGCTCCGGCCTTTGCAGGAACCCTCTGCTCTGGCCGCTCTGGTCTCCAAGGAGTCAGGTAAACTACAATTCCAAAACCAAAGGACACAGCCCACTAAACCCTTCCAGTATTTTCTGTTGGCCATGGGAGAACTGTGTGCCAAGTTTGGTTCAATTCCACCTTAGATGGGGTTCAGAATGCTCTTTGATTGTAGGTGAACTATAAATCCCAGCAACTACAACTCCCAAACGTCAAGATTCTATTTCCCCCATATTCCACAAGTGTTCCCATTTGGGCATATGGAATATCAGTGCCAAGTTTGCTCCAGATCTATCATTGAGTCCACAGTGATTGATGGAGGCAGGTGAACTACAACTCCAAAACCAAAGGACACTGCCCACCAAACCCTTCCAGTATTTTCTGTTGGTCATGGGAGAACTGTGTGCCAAGTTTGGTTCAATTCCACCGTTGATGGGGTTCAGAATGCTCTTTGATTGTAGGTGAACTATAAATCCCAGCAACTACAACTCCCAAATGTTAAGATACTATTTTCCCCCATACTCCACCAGTGTTCACATTTGGGCATATTGAGTATTTGTGCCAAGGTTGATCCCGGTCCATCATTGTTTGTGTCCACAATGATCTCTGAATGTAGGTGAACTACAACTTCCAAAACCAAAGGACACTGCCCACCAAACCCTTCCAGTATTTTCTGTTGGTAATGGGAGAACTGTGTGCCAAGTTTGGTTCAATTCCATTGTTGGTGGGGTTCAGAATGCTCTTTGATTGTAGGTGAACTATAAATCCCAGCAACTACAACTCCCAAATGACAAAATCATTTTTTGTGTGAAGGACATACATTGGGTTGTTAGGTGTCTTGTGTCTAAAATTGGTGTCAATTCGTCCAGTGGTTTTTGAGTTCTGTTAATCCCACAAACGAACATTACATTTTTATTTATATAGAAGTGTGGGTCTTTGTTTTTTTATTTTTGGGGGGGGGGGTTGCACTGCAAATAATATATGTGCAGAGTGCATAGGAATTCATTCATGTTTTTTTTCAAATTATAATCCGGCCCCCCAACAGTTTGCGGGACTGCGACCCGGCCCTCTGTTCAAAAAGTTTGGGGACCCCTGAACTATAATTTGTACCAAGGTATTGCACAAATTATCTGCTACCTTTATGACTGTAGGGTTGGGAACCTGTGACCTCCCTGTCATGATTTCTGAATTTATGGTCTTCTAGCTTTCTTGAATTTCAACTCCCAGAAGTCTTGGTCAGTGTAGCCAGTGGTGAGGAATTCTGGGAAATAACACTAAAAAAAAACTTAAGAGGGAGCTTTCCAAACATTTAATGTTGGTGACACACTTTATAGACATGCATATTTGGTGACACAATATTACTAATAATATTACAGTATAACAGTATAGTACAATATGGTAATGGTAATAATATAATATATGTATTGGGTGAGAAGAGCGGCATATAAATGTTGTAAATAAATAATTCAACAAACCAGAGATTAAACCAACCCTTTATAAGAGATATGAACACATACATAAATTGTAATAACAAAAAGTATGGAGACATAACACATCTCACTAAAACATTTTATGTATATTTTTTAAATATATGATTTATAAGATAATAACATACATTTCCAAGATTATTGTCATTTCTTATAAAATTCATGCAACACACCTACACACTACAGCCGACACATTAACATGTCATAACACAGAGTTTGGAAAATTCTGACTGAAGAGGACCAAAGCTTGAGAACCACTGCCCTAGATATTGTCAGACATCAGCTCCAACGAGTGTCACCACTGTTACAGGATGATGATAGTTGAAAGCCTATGTGGCCTGCATGAGATTCCAGATTAATTCTTTCTTCCTTGCTCGGGCATTTTAGGACCCTTCCATATAGTCATATAATCCAGAATATCAAGGCAGGACATCCCATAATATCTGCTTTGAACTGGGTTATCTGGGGGCCCTTCCACATAGCCATATAACCCAGAATATTAAGGCAGAAAATCCCACAATATCTGCTTTGAACTGGGTTATCTGAGGGCCCTTCCAGATAGGCCTCTATCCCAGGATCTGATCCCAGGTTTGTTTGTTTGTTTTTGCTTCAAACTAGATTTTATGAGTCCGCACTGTCAAATAATCTGGGAAAAACAGAAAATCTGGGATCAGATCCTGGAATTAGGACTTGCCTGTAAGAACTCTGAGTCAATATTGCCATATATTCCAGTTCAAAGCAGGTAATGTGAGGTTTTATTCAGCTGTGTGGAAGAAGGTCTTCGTGCTCTTACTTTGTCTTTGGTTTTATTTGTTGCCTGTTACCTTGTGATTATAAAAATCTTTCCTTGTATTGTATTTTAAAATTTATAAATAAAGTTTCTTTTGGAAACAGCAGTTTAGGATTGGATGTACCATCAGTACCTTGGTCTTTGTCCCTTTTCTGTTCATCCAGAGGAGATTTACAATCCAATTGTCACTTACATTGCTGTTTTCTCCTCCTCCTCCTCTGCCTGATCTCCTGTTACTGATGTTCCACTTCCAAGGCCCAGTTTCTTTAACTGCTATTAGTGGCAATTCTCTTTGCTAGAGAATTAAAATGTAATGCTATTGAAGCTTCTTTCCTCTTCCCTACCCTCCCTGGCCAGTAGTAGTAGGAAAGAAGGTACAATTTAAAAAAAATCAAGGTGGGATACGTGAGCACCCTTGATAAAATGTAATTGTATTGCGTCTTCCTTTGGACTCCCCTCTAAATACTTTTGCAAACCGGAGGTGCATTTTTACATTTATCTTGAAGTATTAGCATGACGAGTTTGTTTTCCTAAAACTTTCTTTTCTTTTCAGATGTTTGTAAGAACTGTCACCATGTAATAGCCAGGCATGAGTACACATTCAGTGTAGTGGACGATTACCAGGTAAAGTCCTTATAAGACACAGTAGTCTCTTAAATATTGTTCATTTTGGGTTTCCCTCTTTGTTTTGTTGTGCGCTTTGCTTTGTTAAAGTTGTTACACTGTTAGAATTTGAAAACCCGTAGAAACCCACACTTCCATTTTATGCTAGACCCACATTAAACACAGGGGAAATTGCTGCCTGGGATTTCTGGGAGTTATAGGATAAAACACCTGGGGACCCACAGGTTGAGAAACACTGCTGTAAGGTTTGACAGAAGTCTGACAATGAAAAAAGCCACTCTGATTTATCTTTGCTGCTCTAATCCCAACTTATCACCACTCGTATTATGTGAACTTCCATAATGGTCTTCTCCTACAGAAAACAGACACTGGGCTTAACGACACTTATTTCTCTGTACTGAACAAGTCAGATCTGGGCAGCACAATGACTTCAGACAAGTGAAGGCCTTGGGCACTTAGCAGTCATGATATTTATGCTGAAATTACTCTCCTTTTGACAGCTATTTCCAAGAAAAAAACACATCTTTACAGTATTGATCTCATCTCAAGAGTCAGGATGTGTTCTGGTCAAAGCAATACGTTCTATTGCAGCATGGAGAAAATCCTCCAGGTATCACTCTGCTACACTGGATAAGTGAAACCACTTGTTAAAACAGCTTCACTGGCTATGAGTTCATTACCAGGCACAATTCAAAGTACTATATGGTTCAGGTACTGAACCGCATATCCCTCTATGACAGTGGTTCTCAACCTGAAGATCCCCAGGTGTTTTGGCCTACAACTCCCTGAAATCCCAGCCAGTTTACTAGCTGTTAGGATTTCTGGGAGTTGAAGGCCAAAACATCTGGGGACACACAGGTTGAGAATCACTGCCTTACAGGGTACCTCAATCTGCCATTGAAGTTCTGATACTTGATTTATTGGGGGAGACCAGCTTACCTGCTGGGTTCCTTGGTTGCACAGAAATGTATTTCTCTAGGGCAGTGGTTCTCAACCTGGGGTCCCCAGATGTTTTTGGCCTACAACTCCCAGAAATCCTAACAGCTGGTAAACTAGCTGGGATTTCTGGGAGTTGTAGGCCAAAAACATCTGGGGACCCCAGGTTGAGAACCATTGCTCTAGGGACAATGCTTAGAATCAAAACATACAGCTAGCCAGAATCCATGCCAGCTTTGTTCCATATGTCAGTTTAACCTTTAACAGACAGTGTAATTCAAGGTGTTAAAGATAGTTAAATTTTTTTGCCTTCTTGGCAACTTTTTTGTATTTACTATATTTCTAAACTCAAAATTCTCTTGTTAGCATATAAATAAAATTTTAAACAAGTGAGGTTAATAACAAGATACAATTGCCAGCAATGCATAATAAAAGCAGCACTAGGGATAAAACAGTGTTGGCATCTACAGATCTAAATAACCCAGTTCTTCAAATTCTCGGGTAATTGGAAAGAATCTTGTAGTTGCTGGTTAAGTCTGCAAAGGATGTTCCCCAGTATGGGTACAATAACCAAAGAAACCTACTGTCCTATGGCTTCCTGTCGTGTTTCAGTAATATCCAGAGAAGTGACTCAGATGTGAAGAGGCTATGACAAGCATGGGCAAATTTTGGCCTTCCAGCCGGTAGGCTGTTAGGAATTGTGGGAGTTGGAGTCCAAAACACCTGGAGGTCTGAAGTTTGCCCATGCTTTGGCTATGAGGTTCTAGTATTTAAGATATTAAAGTTTCCCCAGTACACGGCAGATTATCTAGCATGGCATGCACTATCTAGGGATTTAATATCCATAGGTAAAGAATTAACTTTCAAGACCTGGCTCTTAATCTATAGAACATGGAGGCCCCGGTGGCACAGTGGGTTAAACCCTTGTGCCGGCAGGATTGAAGACCAACAGGTTGCAGGTTTGAATCCAGGGAGAGCACGGGTGAGCTCCCTCTGTCAGCTCTGGCTCCCCATGTGGGGACATGAGGGAAGCCTACCATGAGGATGGTAAAACAAAACATCCTACCGTGCCCTGAGCAATGTCCTTGCCAACGGCCAATTCTCTCACACCAGAAGCGCCTTGCAGTTTCTCAAGTCGCTCCTGATACAAAAGAAATCTATAGAACAGCTGCTCTGAGTCTCCCTTTGAAGAAGAAAAGCAGGGTATAAATAAACAAACAAACATAATAGCAATAATAGTCTTCCATTAGACATCTAGCTCATCTGTTTTTATTAGGGACCAAAAACCATCCTCTTTGATTAGTCTGATTAAGTTCTGATTTGTTCCTGAAATCAGTAGTGATTGGTGGGGTGTTGGCAATTTCATGTCATGTACACTGTATTTATAGTGTTATGTTTTATTGTCTTTGTCCCTTTTTGTAAATGTTAATGTTTGGGTGAAAAGGGCATTGCAAATAAATGTTATTGTTGTTATTATTAAATCAGATCAAGGAATAGTGTGATCTATGGATGTTCTTGTATCATAGGTTATATTAACCTTAGCCAGTATGGCCAGTCTTAAAGAAGGCTGCTGAAAAATATCTAGAGGGCTGCACACACCCCCACCCGCCCCCCGGCCTAAATCCATTTGTTAGTTCCAAATAAAATATACATGTTAGTATTTAAAATATACCTGTTGATATTTAAATGTTGACTTGCTATTCAACAGTTGATCCCCTGCATCTGCTCAGGTTTTTTTTCCTAGCAATTGCTTTTAGATGTGGTTGGTACTTATGACAGGCAATACTCCTTCAGATAACCCAGTTAAACTTAAAGCCATTACTTTGATTTAAGCCTGAAAGCAGGTTGGCAGGCTTAATCTGGCTATACTGATCTAGCTCAATTGCTATTGCTATGCTTTTTCTTTTTTGTTTCCAAAAGATGTCTAGCTAGTGGACAGGAAACAAGCAGGGCTTTTTATATGCTGCATGATATCCGTGGCAAAATATAGGACCTAGTACTGGCTGTGATTTCTTTGATTTTTCAGATTATGCACACATACACACAAATATTTTTAGCTTTGCTATTTGAAAATGATCAATGGGAAAATACGCAATAGTGATGCAGAGAAACTGGAGTAGACTCTCTCTAACTTCCACTATTAGAGCATCTGTGTCCACTTTTTTCTTGTTCCACTCAAGCACATTTTTCCTTTTTTTGTTGAAACTTGTGCTTTTTTAAAAAAGGCTTTGAAAATTAAATTGACAACTAATGCCGCTTATGTTTTTCTTTACCAAATTTCACATTCTGGTCACAGAGTATGGATTTGCTTAGTATGACACAAAGCTTGTCTAGGTAGACTAGTTCCTCAGATTTCTCTTCTTAAATCCATTTACCTGCAAATAATCATTGTAAAAGCGGTAGTTCTCCAACTGAGGCTCTTTGATCCTAAGCTCATTTGCTGGCAATTAGTTCTAGGGATTTCAGAGAAAAAAATACCTGTCAGGAATATACGCTTAGGAACACTGCCTCAGCTAAGGACAAGGGGGATGTTTTAACCTTCTCTAAGGTTACTTCAAAGCTGGTTCAGAACTGCCTCTATTGAGAAGCAATTAAGCGGAAAACATAGCTCTCTCTGTCTTGTGTGCGTGGAGGACTGTGTTATGGGACGGAGGCACACCAGTTTATGTTGAAATCATCAACGTTAACTGACTGCTCCAGAACTGTAGTGCTTTGAAATGAGCATGGTTGATCCCAAGGATTTAAAGACATGAATCAGAAGGTAGACTGGGATATTTTGAGGTAGACATGTGGGAGCTGTGCACTCGTTTTGCAAGTACTATATTATGCTGGTGATTTAACAGTAGCAACAACTACAAGTGTTCTCGTAAGAAAATCTGAGAGAAAGAAATATGAACTCAGTTCAGGATCTGAACATAAAATTTAGTCCAAGTATGCAGGTGTTATGGTTATTATACCACCACTTACGGTTTATTAACAATAACAGCGACAATAATAATAATTCGATGTTGCAATCCCAGGTGACAGCAAGGTTGACTAGAAGCAACTGGAAAAGCTGACACGATATGAGGATTTAAAGATAGAACTGCAAAGACTCTGGCACAAGCCAGTAAACGTAGTCCCAGTGGTATCAGCACACTGGGTGCAGTGCCTAAAAACCTTGGCTTGCACTTAAAAACAATTGCACTGACAAAATTACCAACTGTCAGCAGTAAAAGGACACCCTATTTGGATCTGCACTCATTATTCGCTGATACATCACACAGTCCTAGGCACTTGGGAAGTGTTGGACATGTGATCAAATACAATAGCCAGCTTAGTGATCTTAGTGTGTACTTGTTATGTAACTAATAATAATAATAATAATAATAATAATAATAATTTGTGTTCGTTATCGGTCTCTCCTTATGGCTTGAAGTGGGGTACAATATGGTTAGATCAGACAAAATGCATTGAAATGCATATATCAAAATACTCACAGCAAAGACTTCACCAATACCAATACATTCCAGGCTAGAATTCACAGTTCAAAATTGACTGGGTAGGCCAGCTGGAAGAGATAGGTCTTCAATTGCGTCTTGAATTCTTAAAGCTGATTTAGCTGTAACTGGCATGTCACTCAATAGTTTCTGAGAGAGCTAATTTTTTATAAGATTTGTTCATAGACCTTTGGGGGGGGGGGTCAACATTTTTTAAAAAAAAGACATGAAAATTACATCCTGTCATTCTGCAGTCTGCCCTATCTTAGAGGACTTCAGTGGAACTCTCTGCCCCGGAGTCTCCTTCTTTGGAGGCTTTTAAGCAGAGGCTGGATGGCCATCTGTTGGGGGGGGGGGTGCTTTGAATGTGATTTTCCTGCTTCTTGGCAGGGGGTTGAACTGGATGGCCCACAAGGTCTCTCCCAACTCTATCATTTTATGATTCTATGACTGAGTTGCCCTTCTACGTTAGGAGTGGAGCAAAAGTGCAAGCTAGCCATTAGTAACATTTTACCTTCTGGCTCCTTACCCTTAGAGGGCCAATTTACCTTGAAAACCAGGTTTCTAAACTGAATTATTCAGAGCTGAATTTCCAACTCTGAACTCTGTGTTATGCCTCTGTCTCTTCTCTGCTGGGTAAATACTGGCCTCTTGAAACCGTTGCCATCCTTTTCTTATCTTATTAGTCTTTGTGACATGTGTTCAGTGGCAGTGCTGATTACATTTTCACTTTCCAGACTGCTAGCCACAGATTACCAATTTCCATGCAGTTCCCTCTGACAACTAAAAACAGAAAGAAATTCCAATCGCAAGGCATATTCTGTTAGTGAGATATATGTACATAATTTGCACTATGACTGTGAGTTAAGTGTTGGCCATAACACAATAGACATATTCGGCTGACAGCAGCATAATAGAGTTGTGCCTACACTAATGTTGTGCATTGCTGTTGCTCAATTCATAACAGTACCCAGTCATTAGTATATATTGGACAGTGTGCTGTTCTGCATGGGATTGCACAGTGCTGGTACAACACTGTCGCAGCAATTGGATATTTACATTATGGTAAAGGGAATGTTGGATTGCAGCCTATATTTGTTTTAAGTGATCGCACTTAAAACATTACAGCATCCCCCAAAGGTGGATGGTAAAAGATGTACAGTCAGCCCTTTACATTCACTGTGGTTAGGGGCACAAGACCCCCCATGAAAGTAAAAAGTTGCAAATAAATGAATTGCTGTGTTTTTACCTGAGAGAACACCTCTCCAGGAATGTCTGGATCTTCCAGCATGATTATATGGCTTACTTCTGCTGGAAGCTGACCACAGAATCGCACTGGAGGACCTAGAGATTCCTAGAAAGAACAAATCCACAAATAATCAAATCTGCAAAAGTCAAAACTGCAAATGAGGGGGGATGACTAATTTGAAATGGAGAAGGCAATATAGAAGCTAACAAGTCAGGCCAGAGAGTTCTGACTCTACCCTTGGCCCATAGATTGTGTATTGAAAACTAATTTTAATGTCTGTCTCTGCCATGCTGTGAATACTTCAATTCATCCATCAGTAGCCCAAGTGACACATTGCATTGTCTCTGGTTTGGGAGAGGGAAGTGCTAGGATTATGTGTCAAGAAAAGCTATATTCTACATTCTGTATTGCTCTGATCAAGCAAATATTCATATATTTGCATAATTATTAGGGAGGAAGGAGGAGTTATGCAGGCTCATTAAAGCTGCATTACCCACATACCTTAGGTTATTATGACCAATTGGGAAAGAAACTTGATTATTTCAAAAGTTCCTGTAATGCAACACTTTGCATCCACTGCCTCATTCCACCTTCATGGTGTGCCAACAAAAAGCACATTTTTGTGAGAGGTAATCAGCTTGAATCCCACCCTTATGTTTCCATAAGAAGAGCTGAATAAAGTAACTGAATATCTCCCATTAGGAAGCACGTTTCATCATAACATGGACCAATGTGACATGGACTATCTGTTCTATCATGTTAAAATTAAGAATAGTTAACTTTCCTGCCAGGCTCATATTGTGTGAGCTATAAGTAGTATTTGATTATCTTAATAATTTCATTTGTACCTTTGAACTAAATAGATGATATATTTGCCTGGGTATATATCTATCTATCCATTCAGTTTGAGTGTACAACAAATGAACTCACTGCCCCATTGTAAGTGTATGTTATCTCTTGTTGCAGGAATACACCATGCTCTGTATGCTCTGTGGCAGGGCAGAAGACTCAATCAGCGTCTTACCTGACGACCCTCATCTGATGACTCCGTTGTTCTAAAGCTTTTAATTTTGTAATTGGCTATTTTGTGCTCATTTGTGTCCAGTAGCAACAAAAACATGGAATAAGACATTGTAAACAGTCCAGTTCCCTGTGTACACCAGGGGTGGGCAGTCGCCCTCCAAATATTGCTGGGCTGCATCTCCTCACATGATTTAACTGTTCTGACTATAGCTGGAAGGTCACAGGGTACTGACAGTGACACAGAAAGTCAGAGTAATTGTGGGGTCACCAAATTTCAGCTTGGTAAGATTTTTCTTGCAGAAAGCTATGGAGAAAGATAATGTTTCTTTCTTCTAGTGCTTTCTGTATATTACAATAATTATGAATAATAATAATAATAGACAAAATCATGATCTGTCAACTGCAAAAGGCCATCTTACTTGGATCTGCACACATCATTTGAAAATACATCACAGAGTCCTAGACGCTTGGGAAGTGTTCGACTTGTGATTTTGTGATACGAAATCCAGCATATAGATCTCATTTTCTGTGACATACTGTGTTTTTGTGTCAGTTTTGTTGTTGTTGTTGTTGTTGTTGTTGTTGTGTCAGGAGCGACTTGAGAAACTGCAAGTTGCTTCTGGTGTGAGAGAATTGGCCTTCTGCAAGGGCATTGCCCAGGGGATGCCCGGATGTTTGGATGTTTTACCATCCTTGTGGCTGGCTTCTCTCAGGAGGAGCTGGAACTAACAGAGGGAGCTCATCCGCACTCTCCCCGGATTTAAACCTGCGACCAGTCGGTCTTCAGTCCTGCCAACACAGGGGTTTAACCTATTTTTATTTTGTGTCAGTAAAATAATAATAATAATAATAATAATTTTATTCCTTACCCGCCTTTCCTTGTGGCTCGAAGTCTTCTTTCAGGCATTGTGAACTGTAGGATCTCGCAGAAAGTTTTGGGAAAAGGCAGAAATAATAGACATTTCCCAAGCAGTTGCTGTCGTTCTAGTGGAAAGAAGTCCCAAACTCAAGGTCCCAAGTATATGTGCAGAGTTGACATGTGATAATGAACCTTTAATTCAATTGATGGAATAGGCCTATTGAATCAATGGGGCATACATATTTGTTGGCTTGCCATTCAGTTATTGAGTCTGTGTATCTGTTCTGGTTAGGTCTGTTTACCAATTGTATGTAATTTTAAGGCATTTAATGGTTGCCAATATGTCAGGCTGCTCTAAGTCCCCCTCAGGGTTGAGTAGGGCGGGATACAAATATGGCAAATAAATAAATAAATAGGTCCAGCATTGGATTTAGCTCTGTGTCTGGCTTTTTAGGAGCTTGACGAAGGACAGAAGCAACAGGAGAAACCCTCTTTTCCTGTCTGAAGATTGCACTGCTTTAAATCTCTCTCACCAGGGGTTGAGGAACACTTGACTCTTGCAAGTGGTTTGTTGATGCCTGAAATTAGTGCAGTCCACCCTCAAGATGTTCAAGTAAAAACTTCTTACCCTGAATCTACAGGAGGTAGAAAGATCAGTTGTAAAAACCAATTATATCTGTGATAGCTGTAAGGCATAATTATTGGGAATGCTCCTGGCTAGACTTGTCGATAAGACACATATGAGCTGCTTTATGTGCAGAAAGTAATAGTAAATTAAAGATAATGAAATGAACTTGCCCCGATGATTTTCCGTTTATCCTCAGGTTAGGTTGTTATCAAATTGTGTATTTAATGAATTGAAGCAAATGTAGGAGGAAGGATGATTTCACAGCTATGAATATGTCCTAAGCAGTTTAGTCCAGCAGACATCTATGGTATTACCACCTTATGATACATGACCAGTGGTGTGTAATTTGGTTAAAATACAGTTAACACCCATGATGTTAGGTGAGAGAGAGCATTTCATGTGCAAACTAGGTGAATATGAGCTTTCATCCTTCAGAAACTGAGCAGTACACAATAACTCTTTAGACAGTGCATGGTTGTGAAATGAATATGTCCCATGTAGCACACACTTGATTTCTTCCAGCCAAAGTTAGAAGGATCATCTCTTTCTGTGAAAGTGCTGCATTTCTATTAGGGTGACATTCCCTCCCCCCACCCCCACCCCGGAAGCATTGTAGTGGCAGATTCTACCCTGGTTTCTGCCCTTGCTGCAGTTGGCATTTCAAAAGCCTGTTTTCATGACCCAACTGCTGTGCTGAAATGTGCATCCAGCCAATTATTTTTTTGCCCTGCATTCACACTACTCCTTGCTTAAGTGCCAGAGCCAGATTTTTCATGCATGCCAAAGTTCCATCATCAGACAGCCATCAGGAGAACTACCATTTGCTGTGATATTGTGTTTGTTTGGGTACATGGTGAAATATTGTACAGATATGGAGTCCAGAGTTACAGATCAGACTATATGTTGCCAAGCTAGTTGGCCGTGAGAATGGAATGCAGCCTTCCTCTGCCGTTAGCTGTGATAAATAAATGAAAGCAGTGTTTTTCCTTATCAGAAGATTTGGACAGAGTCAAGGTCACTGTCACATCCCCTGAATGTCTGGATGACCACTTTTGGAAGTGAAGGATACTTAATGTAAATAGATTTTTAGTCAGCATGGCAGTTCTGATTATAATATTCAATAAAATTAGATCTGAATGGATGATGTTGAAATGCTTGTTGTTTGAATGATTGATTCAGTCTGCTAAGCTTTGGACATCTAGTAGTTCAGAATGAAAAGAAAAACATACTTGAGGATTCACTACAAACACAAATAAGATTTAATTTGCATATTGCACTTTGGAGAGTTGTGCATATGCTTGTCTCCCATTGAAATCAGTGACCCTTAAACAAGCTTGAAGTTAATCCATTGTTTCTAACGGTTCAATTGGCAGAATTTCCTATTGCTTTCCTTACTGTTGGCGGTTTGAATTCAGGGAGCAGAGTGAGCTCCCAGTGTCAGCCCCATCTTCTGCTAACCTAGCAGTGCGAAAACATACAGATGTGAGTAGATCAATAGGTACTGCTCTGCAGGAAGGTAATGGTATTCTATGCAGTCATGCCTGCCACGTGACCTTGGAAGTGTCTATAGACAACGCCAGCTCTTCAGCTTAAAAATTGAGATGAGCATCACCCCCCAGAGTTGGACATGACTAGACAATGTCAAGGGGAAACTTTTACTGTGGAGTTTTCAAAGAACTAGCCATGTCAATTTCTCTCATCTTAGAAGGGAAATGGCCAAGGGATGGAGGATGGAAGAACCAAGCAGGACTTTTCAAACTAGCTAATTTATTTTAACACAAATGCTTATAAATATGATTCCACTTCTGCAGAGGCACTGATGGATGCAAATTGATGTCTGCAAAAGCTCATGTTAAAATGCACCAATTACTCTCAGTGGTTCTACCTATTTTCCTCATTCTCTCTTTTCCTTTTCCTAATGTAGGGAAAATTCTTTGGGATAGATTTACATTTGAGTAGATACACTGAATCGGTCAAATTTACACACACGTTGACTTACTAAGTTGTTCTTGATTTAATGGGACTAACAATTGCATTTAAGCTTCCATTCTTGTTGGTTAATGTTTATTTCTCAGCCCTATTATCTTAAGAGTTGCATATTGATTTCAATTCCTGGAAGGCCTGTCAAAGTGGAGTCTTTAATGAGAATCATAGATTTTATGTATCTTTTAAGCTAAAAGGCACCCTCTAAGACCTGGCCTTTTGCCTCAATCCATTAGACACATGTGCTTCTTTCCTTTGCACTTTAGCACTTCAGGGAAATAGCTCTATCTGGCAGCAAATCAAACACTATGGAGAGAGATCTCTGTCAGCTCTTTATATTATTCCTCACTGCAGCCATTTGGCACCAAATAAGATTATAGTAGTGATGAGAAACAGGCCTTGGTGCTCTAAAGTATGGCTTCTTAAACTTTTCTACTCATAAGACCTCTTGGCCTGAGAAATTTTTACATGACTCTAGGTACCTAGATATGTAAAATAGATATAAAATCTAAACATTCTAAACAAGTCAGTATTTGCAGGGCTTTCTAAACAGGCTGATTTTCATTTTTATGAAGTACAGCTGAAGCATCGTCCACTGTAAACACTGCACAACAGATTCATGTAAATGTCCAAAATAATCAAATGCTCCAAAAACTAGTCCTGGTTTATCAAATTTTTGGAACCCCAACATTGAGCCAATGGGGTCCTATTTGGTGTTAGGACCCGCTGTTCTAAAGTGTATGAAGAGAACATGTATTTATGTATTTGTTTATTTTCTGCCTTTGTCTTGATAGAGGGACTTAACTACCACTGTTGCATCTTTCCTTCAACTGTGTATGGAGATCATGAACATAATGAGCCTTCACAGAACCAAGGCTTGTTCAGTTCAGTGTAATTCTCCCACATATTTGTGGCTCAACATGCTTTGGATTTAGACCTTTGAGGCATGCATTACTAACAATTTTCCAGGATTATATGGTTGAACAGTGGTGGGGCTGGCGGGGGTGGGTGGGGTCAAATCTTCATCCTCATCCATCTAGCAACATGAATCCTGCAAAGAGTGGGCCATGCTTTTAATGGGAATCACGTTGCATGGAACCGCTGACCCAGTTTGCAAACATTGGCCTTGTTCTCTCTTCGGCTTCCGCATACTAATAGAGATGCTTACCTGCAAGAAAGAGGGAAAAATGAATATTGAGAAGACCTGCTCTGTTGGGATATATCTGCATTTGGTGCAATTGTTCCTTTGCAGTTGAAACTTAAACTTTAATAGACATTGCCTTTAAAAGGTGAAGGTGAAAAAAAAAACTACTGGAACTTTATTTATTCTTCCCCAGGATATGGGATCAATGAATAAGAGGAATATATATATATATATAATATCTCGAACAGGCACTGGTAGATAACAAGCTCTGGACAGCTGTGTGAAGCACAGGCAATATTCTATGATTTTGGGTTTAAATGTGCCCTGAAAGTCAAGGCAACTCATCTGGCTATGCTCATCAGACCTCACAACCTCTGAGGATGCTTGTCATAGGTGCAGATGGAATGCCAGGAGAGAATGCTTCTAGAACAGCCCGAAAAACCTACAACAACCCAGTGATTCCGGCCATGAAAGCCTTCGACAATACATTCATCTGGCTATGCTCACTTTGGATTTTTCCTTAGGCAGCAGTGCGTGCCAGTCTCCTGTGCCAGCCTCCTGATGCCCTCCTGTTTATTTGAGCGCTTGGGGAGTGATTCAGCAGTGCTGTATCAAATATTTTACCTGTGTGGCGGGTCTTCCTTTGCTAGCTGGACAGAGCACTAGTAGCAGTGAATGCTGCAGTCTGCTACTGTCAGATGAAGAGGAGATGATAAACAGAACTGCAGGCATTTCATTTGCCTGCAGCAACCATGGATTTTGCTCAATTTTTCTGGAGCATATGGCCCTCAAAATTCACATCCAGGACTGGAGCACTTTGTCTGTTTCGCTGCTCAGAGATGCATCCTCTGTGATTTAAGAGAGTGAGACTGTGCTTTTGTGAAATGGGAAATATTTGCTAGGATTTGCGTAAGAGAATGGGTAACAGTGCCCCTCCATATGTTAAGCCTACATTGGTGTTTGGGAATGTCTCCCCCAGTTTAATTTAGTCAGAAAGTAAATTGGGTAGAAAGGGCCTGTTTTCTCATAAGGGTGTGAATGTAATGGGATTGCCTCCCATGCATTGCCTCTCCTCTAAATAAGGGGAGTAGCCCACAAAACAGCATTCCGGAGAGATGTGGCCTGCAGGCTCACTTTCTCCATTCCTCATTTCAATAGACACAAAGTCTTAGCTGGATACTGTAACTTCATTTCAGCCTGTCCCGATAAGGAAAAAAAATGTGGACTCCATCACTTCAAAACAAATCACATTAACAAAGAGTTTGGAAAAGTTAGTTTTTGGAGTATAACCTAGATTACAACTTTTACATTCCCTCAGACAATATGGTCTAGACCAGGCATTGGTAAACTTCGGCCCTCCAAATGTTTTGGACTTCAACTCCCACAATTTCTAACAGCCTCAGATCCTTTCCTTTTTTTCTGGAGCATCTGGCCCTCGAAATTCACATCCAGGACTGGGACACTTTCCCCCTCGCTGCTCAGAGTGAGACTGCTTTTATGAAATGGGAAACTGAATATGTGCTGAGATTTGTGTAATAGAATGAACAACTGTGTCCCTCCATATGTTAAGCCTACATCAGTGTTTGGGAATGTCTCCCACTATTTAGTTTAGTCAGAAAGTAAATTGGCTAGGAAGGGGCTTAAGCGGCTGAGGGGGAAAAGGAAGGGGTCTGAGGCTGTTAGGAATTGTGGGAGTTGAAGTCTAAAACACCTGGAGGGAGGGCTGAACTTTGCCCAGGCCTGGTCTAGACTGTGGATGTGGTGATTCTATTCCCAAAAGACACTATTGCAAGCTCTGGCCCCGAGAAGTAGCCTGATGGCAGAGTTTTAACATTTGTTAACAATAAACTTTGTTCCTTCACAGATATGCAACAGTTCTATGGGTTTGTATTAAACAGAGTCAAAAGAAAAAGATGTAACTATGCATAATCCTTAAGTATGGCTATAACATACTAGTTAGGAATCCCTGTAAATACTAAATATTCTAGAGAGAATTTGCCCGTTCTCTAAAGCTGAGTAAAATCCTTCTGGAGAGATCCAATTTTGAACTAGACTAATTCTAACAGAATTTGGAAAGTTGCTTCTAATAAGTAATTAATTAGTAGTTCAAGGACCTAAATTGCAATTCAGTTGAAATTTGTTTTAAAAGGGTGTTCCTTTAGTACTGTTCATACATAACTGAAATATTTAAGTCACTTTTACACTTTAGAATGCTACAAATTTGTATTTGTATTACAAAAAAATACTTAGTAATTAGTTCTAATATTAAGTAATAAGCAAAAATTATATTGGGTTGCTTTGAGTTTTCTGGACTGTATGGCCATGTTCCAGAAGCATTCTCTCCCGACGTTTCACCCACATCTATGGCAGGCATTCTCAGAGGTTGCTTGCCATAGATGTGGGTGAAACGTCGGGAGAGAATGCTTCTGGAACATGGCCATACAGCCCAAAAAACCCACAGCAACCCCGTGATTCCAGCCATGGAAGCCTTTGAAATCACAGATGTTATATTTCAAAAGAAACAAAAATGTACTTTGAGCCTCTCCAGTTTTGGGATTCAACATGTCATTACAATGGAAGATTGCCCATAAATCATTGTGCATTTTGTTTATTGATTTTGATCTTAGCCTAACACAATAAAAAACTGAGTAGATGATGCAAATCAGTTTTGATTGGCTATTTTGAAACAGTAAATTCTCATTCAAAACTACAGTAATTCTGGGATATAATATAGAAACAATATGTTAATTGATATGTTTTTGAAAGAGACTATTAATTCTGTAGTACTACATTTAAGTTAAAACTATTGCTTTATGGTTTAGTCTTGAAGCCCTCCTACATATCTACTATAATCTAGATCAGAAGAACACTAGTTTCAGCAAAGTGTGTTATTTAATACTGTTAAAAAGCATGTTCTGTGCCTGGGGAGGAAAAATGTATACAAAACCTTTTGTATGTCTTCATTAAACAACAAATCACATATAGAGGATATATCTATCAGTGACATTCAAGTTTATCAATTGCATTTTGAACTGTTCCGTAATTGGATGTTAATCTGGAATCTCACCCATGTACAAAAATGTGTTATCCCTTTCCACAAATTCAGAGTGGGCTTTGTTATCTGGCTGTGACATAAGAGAAGGAGGAGTGGGTTCTTCAACTTCTTTTTTATTTCACTTATGAAACCAATAATGCCCAGCAAATAAAAGCTATGGGATCAGCACCTTTACATGCTTCAGGCACCCTCTTTTGAGCTTTAGGAGGACACCGTCAATTAGTAAAGATCTGATATTGGCTCTTGCAGGAGCTCGGATAAAGCACCTGATTCACTCAGCAGAAAAGGAGGAGAGGAAGAAAAAAGAAAGAAGGGTGTGGCGAGTATTTCCTTGATTCTTTTGGTGGTCCGTAAGGAGGATGCGCATGACTGCAGTGCAGTGAATTTCTAGCCTTTCTTCTGACCCATGTTGCTATGTTATGGCTATTTGAATGATCTCAGAAATAGTGTCGGTTCCCTGGCTTATTTGGCAAGCTTCAGGAGGCGCTGTATGTCAGGCTCAATGTTGGTGGTGAGGAATCGCGGGCTGTAGCGCTTGAATGGCTCTCCTTCAGGTCCCACCAGGAACTTCTCAAAGTTCCAGGAAATGTCGTTACGACTCACAGGGCTCCATAAGATGAATTTGGGCTCCATCATGAGGCAGGAGGGGTTGTCATCTGGGTAAGGGAGCTTGTCCTTCAGATATGCAAAGACAGAGTGGGTGTTCTTGCCGTTCACCTCACATTTCTGGCAAAGAGTGAAGTTGGGTTCAAAGCCTGAGCCAGGCCGCACATGTTTCAGGCTGTTGAGGATCTCATCATTGGTACAGTTCTCCTGTTAGGATCAAATGCACAAATGTGAGAGAAGAAATGACACCTAACGTGTGGAATGTCAAAGCTTTGTCTGATCTTTCTATATCTTAATGACATCAAGTATAATAAGTTGCGGAGGGGCTTGAGGCTTCACCCCCCCCCCCCCCAAAATTCTCAGGGTGGTTCGCGAAAAGGCCTTACTGGTGCATTATTTAAACTGTTATGTTTATTCATATCATGATCTGATCACCATACTCAATATATCCCATATGCATGGGGGTATTGGGGTAATGATACAAAAGGTTTGCTAGGCTAGACCCTCTTTCACTCAGACTCAGCCCCCCCCCCCCCCCCCGAAACTCAGCCCCCCAACCCCCCCTAAAAAAACTCCCCCCCCCCGAATTGAAATCCTGGCTACGGGCCTGCATTCTGTGCAATTCAATTATGCAGAATATTTTGAAACCTTGAAAATAGCATATGAATATTAAATGTGATTACTATCAAAGCAAATGTAATATGGGGAGAAGGGAACCAAAAGGTTTAAGAACTTGGGCAAACTTGGGTCCTCCAGGTGTTTTGGACTTCAACTCCCACAATTCCTAACAGCCCAACCTTGTGGGAGACTGTTAGGAATTGTGGGAGTTGAAGTCCAAAACACTTGGGGACCCAAGTTTGCCCATGCCTGCCTTAGTGTTATATTACTGTATTTTTACACATAGGCAAAGGTACTAATTGAGTATTAAAATATTTGGTTATACTTGAATACAGACTGAGTATTCCTTATCCAGAATTCTGAAATCCCAAAATCCTCCAAAATCTGAACTTGGATGGCTGAGGTAGTGACACCTTTTCGTTCTGATGGGTCAACGAACACAAACTCTTTCATGCACAAAATTATTAAACATACTGTGTATTAAATTATTTTCAGACTTGGTGTATAAGATGTTTATGAAGCATAAAATAATTTCATGTTTAGACTTGGGTCCCATCTCATTATGTGCAAATACAAATATTCCAAAAACCAAACAAATCTGAAATCCAAAATATTTCTGGTTCCAAGAATTTTGGAAAGTGATACCGAACATGGATTAATGGAAGCTGTACTGGACTCTTTCAGACTGCACATTGATTGCTACTACAATACCACTTTAACTGCTATGGTTCCATCTTCTGGAATTTTAGAGTCTAGTGAAGGCCATTGCGAAATTTATTTTAGAAGTAAAAATAAATCCAAACATGAAAATGTAAGGGAAATTTATTTTTTATTTATTTATTTATTCTATCTTCTCAATATGGGATTCAAAGGGACTTAAATATTTGTACAGTTGTCTTGCTTGGCAAAACCATGCTGGGTAGGGATTTGAGGAATTTCACTAAAAATAAATCAGTTTCCCTATTTCTTCTCCCAAGTGCCATAGAACAGTATACTTTCTCTTTGGAGCCTCTACTAGTGGTGCAGCCTATCTGAAGGAGTTTGATGGGTTCTACTTTGGTTCTGTCCCTATTCCAGCAAGAGCTGTAATACCTTATTTTCATAACCTTATTTCTGCTGTAGAAGTTTGTCTTCGTGAAAAAGGAATCCTTTGCTATTAATCCCATTATATCCAACATTACTGCTATGTGATTAAGCATTAAGCAATTGTAGATGATCCAAGGATGTCTAAAAATACCCTGTTGCTCTAAAACAGTATTTCTCAACCTGGGAGTTGGGAATCCGGGGAGGGGGGGGGGTCGTGAAAGGGTATCAGAGGGGCCGCCAAAGACCATCAGAAAACACAGTATTTTTTGTTGGTCACAGGGGTTCTGTGTGGGAAGTTTAGCCCAATTATATCATTGGTGGGGTTCAGAAAGCTCTTTGATTGTAAGTGAACTATACATCTCAGTAACTACAACTCCCAAATGTCAAGGTCTGTTTTTCCCCAAACTCCACCAGTGTTCAAATTTGATCATATTGAGCACTCGTGCCAAGTTTGGTCCAGATCCATCATTGTTTGAGTCCACAGTGCTCTCTGGATGTAGGTGAACTACAACTCCAAAACTCAAGGTCAATGCCCACCAAACCCTTCCAGTATTTTCTGTTGGTCTAAGTTTGGTTCAATTCCATCATTAGTGTTTGGAATGCTCTTTTATTGTAGGTTAACTATAAATCTAGCAACTACAACTCTCAAATGACAAAACCATTTCCCTCCAACCCCACCAGTATTCCAGTTTGGGTGTAGAAGGTATTTGTGCCAAATTTGGTCCAGTGAATGATAATTACATTATGATTCATAACAGTAGCAAAATCACAGTTATGAAGTAGCAACAAAAATCATGTTATGGTTGGGGATCACTTCAACATGAGGAACTGTATTAAGGAATCACAGCATTAGTAAGGTTGAAAATCACTGCTTTTAAAAAATGTATCCTAACTGAAATGCATCATCCTTTTTTGGATTCCACACTTTAGGATTTGTGTGGCCTCCAAATATGTCACCTGTGGAATATGTATTCAGATTGATTTCTCCTACATGTATCTACTCAGAAATTAGTCCCAAGAAGTGGTTGAAATGACCTTCCAATCCAGAACTAGTGGGATCAAAATCGATTGACATCAATGTTGAAAGAAAGACTGGCCCTGGTGAGGAAAAAGCAATTTCCTTCCCAAAATGCAGAAAGAATGGAACAAAGGCACTTACCTGGTAGCCAAACTGGTTGCAAGGGAAACCCAGGACAACCAGCCGCCGAGGATATTTGCTCTGCAGCTGGTTCATCTGGGTGTAGTCCCTCACCGTCGTGCCTCAGAGGGAGGCCACATTCTCAATCAGGACCACCCTTCCTCTAAAATTGTTGAAATCCACTTTCTCCCCTTGGAGGTCAGTGGCTTTTAGATCATAAAAGGATTTAGCGATGGGAGTCATCATGGCTGCAAGGACCAAAATCGGCAACCACACAGCAGCAGTGAGCATCGGACAGACACAGTTGCTTGCTTAAAATGCTTCTCTGAGTGCTCCTGTGATTGGTTGCACATAAAGGCCTTTCTCTCCTAGTGTGATGAGCCGAAAGAGGAGCCATGCCCCCTGATACTGATCCAGCACTTTACTGATTTGGAACAAAGCTGCGGGTCAGGCCAGGGTATGTCCCATTGCAAGCCTGCAACACAGGATGGATATCCAAGCCACTGCGATAGCGCAGCCAACTCTCAATAATTCATGCTGCTTCAGATAAGGCTACTTATTTAGAGTGCGACAGGACAATCCAATGCGTGTTTACTCAGAAGTAACGCTTACTGGGTTCAATAAGCTGTTCCTTCCTAGTAATTTCATTGAGGATCACAGTTTAAGGTGGGAGAGCAGGGCAAGAATGGAAAGAATAGTGTCTTTTGTGGCAGAACTTGAGAATCATTAACACAGGTACTGTAAGATTGGACACAGCTATAGGCTCATTTTTGGATATCCCACAGCCCATGGCTTTTCAGTATGGATGCATTGACAAGATTAGATTAGAACTAGGCTGATCAATTCTACTCGGATTTTTTGACATTTTAAAAATGGAAGTAAGCATATTGCAAGGTCCATTCTGTTTTCAACAATATATAGCCTAGAACTATGTTATGAAATGTAATTCCTTCAATTCTTGTATATCAGTTGTCATGAATTGAAACTATATCACTTAATAAGTTTGTATAAGATTGCTGCCTAAGTTGAAGGAATGTCAAAATATCAACTACATAATACGGCACCCCATAGCTATCTGTGGCACAGTGGGTTAAACCCTTGTGCCGGCAGGACTGAAGACTGACAGGTTGGAGGTTCGAATCCGGGGAGAGTGCAGATGAGCTCCCTCTGTCAGTTCCGACTCCCCATGTGGAGACATGAGAGAAGCCTCCCACAAGGGTGGGAAGACATCAAAACATCCAGGCGTCCCCTGGGCAACATCCTTGAAGACGGCCAACTCTCTCACAACAGAAGTGACTTGCAGTTTCTCAAGTAACTCCTGACACAAAAAAGCTATCTGCTCGAGTGTGAACTGTGTACCTTCTCAAGATCCTGTTCTACTTTATAATTAAATATTTGTACGAAAATGTGTACAAGCAGAAATTCCTCAGAATCTGAGTGATCATAATTGTACAATAACTATTAGAACAATGATGCCTCGAGTAATTTTTCAAAGATTAAAAAAGTGTTCGATGTAAACAAGACTAAGCCGGATGGTTCTTTGATCTAAGAAAAAGCTTACTTTGGTGATACATGTTATTTCAAGTGTAAATATTGATGCTTGAAACTGCTCTGTTCTAAATGTTTGCTTTGAAATTAAAATCTATTAGAAGACTTGTTGCACTTGTTCTCCCACCTTTAACTACCTAGTGGGTAGGTGGGGAATATCTGGTAGTTACCAACTGTAGAAGAAGTGCTGAAGAAGATGAGATGAACATTAGCATCCTAGTTCAGTTGCTGCAGCAATATAGACTGGAAGTGGAATGACCAAAGGCTGAAGTGATGGATATCTAATGGTTTACAGAGTCTGGCAAAAGCTATATTTTAAACTGTTGTATGTTCCTGAATGACTTTGGATGTGTTATCATGAGACCAGTCTGTTGACGATGTCTATGAAAAGGATATGATAAGTGACATCCGTTGGCCTTCTTGCAGCTGATAATACAGTAGATTCCCATACACTCTCTCTTACTGACACACAATGATGAAGAAAATACCGTATATTCCGGCATATAAGACGACTGGGCGTATAAGACGACCCCCAACTTTTCCAGTTAAAATATAGAGTTAAGACGACTCCCATGCATAAGACTACACCCACGTATAAGACGACCCCTGACTTTTGAGAAGATTTTCTTGAGTTAAAAAGTAGTCTTATACGCCAGAATATACTGTAGGTTTCACAAGCAACACCAGTAAAACAACAGCAGGCTCTTCATGAATCTTTACAACACAAGTAACCATGGCTGGTAGGCATCCTATAAAACAGAATATTAGGACATGGCCTGGGTCTTGATTCCATTGACCTATCAATCCATCCAAATGTACTAATTATCTTTGTGTGGGTATTGATGAAGCTGTGATAGATCTGAGAATGCCTTTCCCTACTGATGTTTTACTTCTTTAGCTCAATCCTTCCCCGCCTCAAGAACAAAATAAACTAGCACCAGTCATAATGAATACCTTGATGTGCTCTAAATTCAGGAGTGACATCTGTAGTGGGCAAAGCCACTTTTGCTCCCGAGAGTAACAGCACTTTTCTCGCTTCATGTCACTGCCTGTTTTGGCTTTCAGTTGCAAAATAGCAGGGTTTCCCCCTACATTTTGGACATTTGGGAGGTTGAGAGAGCCAAGGATACTTAAGCTGTTGTTTTTACAGCAATTTAGGTATCTTGGTGCCAGTTTTCTGTAGGGTTAGAGATATTTCAATGGTACCACTCCCCATTCCCACTTGGAGAATCAAGATGGAAAACTTTTTTTGTGGGGAAGTCCTAATTTCAATTTGGATAGGACCGAGCAAAGCCAAATCAAAGCATACGGGGCAAAAATTCCTACCCAGCAAACATTTCTCTTCCAAGCAGACAAAAAACTTTGTATTGTCGAAGGCATTAATGGTTGGAAAAAATAGGTTGTGAGTTTTCCAGGCTGTATGGCCATGTTCCAGAAGCATTCTCTCCCAACCTTTTGCCTGCATCTATGGCAGGCACTCTCAGAGGTTGTGAGATCTGTTGGAAACTGGGAAAATGGGGTTCCAGAGATATATAACCCCCATTTTCCCATTTTCCAACAGACCTCACAATTTCTGAGGGTGCCTGCCATAGATGCAGATGAAACGTCAGGAGATAATGCTTCTGGAACATGGCCATACTGCCCAGAAAACTCACAACAACCTCAAAAAAATTAATTCTATCTGTGTTTATGGATAAGGAAGCCTCAGTGTAAGCAGACAGTGTTAAGTCAGATTTCAGGATGGGGGAAAAGGGGAAATTCAGATTTGTTGTCCAAAATCCCAGAAGATTTTGGCATGTTTAGTCTGCCAAATAGAAGGCTGAGAGGAGACATAATAACCGTGTATAAATATGTGAGGGGAAGTCTTAGGGAAGAGGGAGCAGGCTTGTTTTCTGCTGCCCTGGAGACTACAGCAATGGAGCAATGGCTTCAAACTACAGAAAAGAAGATTCCACCTGAACACAAGGAAGAACTTTCTGTGAGAGCTGTTCAGCAGTGGAACTCTCTGCCCTGGAGTGTGGTGAAGGCTCCTTCTTTGGAGGCTTTTAAACAGAGGCTGGATAGCCATATGTGGAGGGTGCTTTGAATGCAATTATCCATTTTCTTGGTAGGGAGTTGGACTGGATGGCCCATGAGGTCTCTTCCAACTCTATGATTCGATGATTCTAAGAAAGATCTTTAAAAAATGTGAAAATCTTGAGAATGTTACTTTTCAATGGTATAGTGCTTTAAATGGAGATGAGTTGAGATTTTTAAAAAATAACATAGAAAAGTATCCGTAATTTTGAGAAAATAAAAGAAAAACACACAACATTCTCCTCCTCTCTCACACCCTTCCAAATAAAATGCAATTAAATTAATTCCAGTCATGGCTTTCAGGGTATATCCTGAATTTACTCTAGAAAGGATGGTCTAACATGGTCCATAGTTAGATGTTATTAAGAAGACAACAAGGAGTGGTCAACTCCCTTTTATAAAGATGATAGTTCAGTCAGAACTACCTTTTATCAGAGTTACTATTGTTTAGTGCAAGAATGTGATCTCCTTCATCTTTAGTGTTGCCTTGCCAGAAGGGAAATATTAGAAGGGTGAAGTAAGGTAAACCAATTCAGGTTCCCTGGTATCTTATCATATACTATAAGGGGCATGACTGAGTTACATGAGAATTGGGGAGGGGGGGAGCATATTTACACACAACCTATGATAAATACTGTTATCAAAAGTAATAGTCCTGTGCTATTATATGAACTAACATTTACGTAGCATACTGGACACACATTTATGTTGTGTTTTGCATGACAGCTTTTCTTTTTGTGCAAGCACGATTCTTCTGTCTTGCCATCTTCTTATGTTACCCTCCAGGTGGAATTCATATCGATATGCCTTGTGTCGACACAGAATAGATGCAGATGTCCTCAATAATCTATTTTTAATTGGCTGGAAATTTCTGCTCATAGTAAAATATTTTTAAAAGTGAAAAGAAAAAATATGCCTGAATGCTGCTGTGTTTTTTTTCCCCAAACAGATCCGATAATGAAAACTCCTAATGAGAGTTCTGCTTCTCCTGGCACAAGGAGCTCACTGAATTATTAACAGTTGGATCAAATTCCCAATGAGCTCAAGCAGAGGAAGGTAGAACATGTAACCAGAGCACGGTAATTGGAGATAATTTTCTAAAAGGAAGAAAGAAAATGGAGTGCAGGACTTAATGCAAACCACTCCAGCGTATTCCAAGAACACAACAGCCCCTCCAATTTTGGCAGACTTCAATGAGCTAAATCAGCAATTGATTGCTGTGGGTCTCAGTGAGAGCACAGGTCTTTGCTTATGTTGCAGACAGAGCAGTTAAACTCTCAATGTACAACCTACATCGAGTGTACTTAAGAGGTCAGACTCTAGCTATTCTTAGATTCAACTTAAAATTTTCTTCATCAACTAGATCACTGAAAAGACACAAAAGCACTTCCACATTTCAATTTGTCACTCATGAGACTTACTGCTTAAGAGTCAAAATTAATCTGATACAGAAAATGAGGTATAGCATGTACAAGTACTGCATATGGATCTCATTCTTCTTCAAAGACTAGGCAATGATGAGTACTGGGTTCTAGTTAGTGATGATGTCTCATGGCATGTTATATTAAGCAGAATCCATTTTACCAACACCCCCCTCTCTCCTGGACTCATTTATAGCCTTTAAGATTTGTCTGAATTGCATAAAATGTTTATTCTGAAGCAAACCAAAATCAGATATAAGGAACTGCTATTCCCATTGCATCACCATTAACCATGTTGGCTGGTGCTGATGGGAGCTGTAGTCCAGTAGCATTTGATGGCCAAGTAAGTTGATAGAAAGTAAAGGAGGTATTTTATGCTGCTTACAGTGTACAAACAGTATTTTGGGCGCTGAAATTCTGTGCCCCTCACAATATCAACCCTTCTCGCCACATATGGGGACCACAAGTTAAAAGAGATACTGACAAGCTGGAATGTGTCCAGAGGAGGGCGACTAAAATGATCAAGGGCTGGAAACCATGCTCTATAAGTAGCACCTTAAAGAACGGGTATGTTTAGCCTGTAAAAGAGAAAGTTGAGAGGAGATAGGATAGCCATGTATAAATATGTGAAATTATGTCATAAGGAAGAGGGAGCAGGCTTGTTTTCTGCTGCCCTGGAAACTAGGACTCGGAGCAATGGGTTCAAACTACAGGAAAGGAGATTCCACCTGAACATGAGGAAGAGCTTCCTGACTGTAAGAGCTGTTCAGCAGTGGAACTCTCTGCGTCAGAATGTGGATGCTCCTTCGATGGAAACTTTTAAATAGAGGCTGGGTGGCCATCTGTCAGGAGGTACTTTGATTGTGCTTTTCCTGCACAATCTAGATGGCCCATGTTAGCACTTCCAACTCTATTATCCTAAGCTTCTATATTACACTCTGCCACTTACTGCCAAAGTTATGGAAGTAAAATGATAATTGCCTGCCCATTGATGCTATTACTCTGAAGCATGAAGACAACTCCTTGTTTCCCAAGTGGTTTCTTCTTATTCAATACAAAACATGGCATGTTGCACGTGCTCAGTGAAACAAAATGTTCATCTAACAGTTTGTTGTTGCTGTGTGCCTTCAAGTCATTTTTGCATCATAGCAGCAATTCTATCACAAGGTTTTCTAGCCAAGATTTGTTCAGAGGGGGATTGTCTTTGCTTTCCTCTGAGGCAGACAACTTTCCTCACTGGAAATGGAACAGACTAGTGCAATCAATTAATGAAGCAGAAGGTGCTAGTCATATCTGGGCAAAAGAACTGAAATAGTTTATATATAATGTATCAGGTACAGCACTATTTAGATGTTTGACTTTTAAAACATCAAGCATAATCTTTGAAAAATTATTTATTAGAGAAATATTTGTCTAATCACATCTTCCATCTCATGCACTGCAGTCAGTAGAGGAGGACCTGCTCTCAGTCCCACCCCCGTCAAAAGCTTGGTTGATGAGAATGAGAGAGGGGGCCTTCTTGTGTTTGCTCCCCATCTCTAGAACTCCCTTCTTGAATAAATAAAAACGGTCCCCACCCTCCTCTCCTTTAAAAAGCTGTTGAAAATGCACTTATGCACTTTAGCGCATGGAGAGGAGAAGGACTAGGACATTTTAATTCCACCAGAACGCTGGCTAACTTATTTGTATTCCATTGCTCTTATGGTACATGAGAACTACTATGATGGTCATTTTTATTTAATTTAATCACCTTTCTCCTGATCTATGCCTTAATGGTTAATTTATGTTACTTAATATCATTATGCTTATTTGATTATTTGTACTTGGTTTTGATGTTAATTTCTCTTTTGTCATAAGTTCATGGCCAGTACGTCTGTATTATTTTATTTTTGAAAAGTTGGTATTTTGTATAGGGTATTGAATGTTTGTTTTTCCTGTGTGTTATTATTATATATGCTATTCTCTTCATCAATGTTATTGCAAATATTCCAATAAAATAATTTCTACATGAAGCTTTGAGTGTTTGAATGCAACATTTAAATCAAGTGCAAAAGTAAATAACTTCTTTAGAGCACTGAAAAGATTTCCAGTGCTGCTTTTTTGAGGAAATCCACATGTCCTGGAAAGGGCTTGCCTGTTCAGCCTCCTGTTCCTGCCCACTCTCCCTCCGAAGGGTGTTCTTGGCAATATGAATTAGTGATCTAATGAAGAAATACATCAGTCCCCAATCACTTTGAGAGAATCTTTATTTTGTAAATTCTGTTTGTTTGTTTCTTTGTTTAAAATAATGAATTACAATGACAGGTCATACAAGGAAACCCAGTCAAGAGTGCAAAGTTCACAAGAGTCACAGACACAGTAGAGGATTCATACAGTTGCAAGTTTGGGTGGATCCCATGACAAGTTATATGCAACAGTTTCTGCTCAAAGGCAGACAAGTTGCCATGACCTGTGACTTGTAGGACAGAGGGAGCCTCAAAATACTGAAGAGATTTCCAGAATCCCCCTCACTTTCCATTCCTAGCACTGACAATAAATCCAGGCAGAATTGCCTGGCCTCTAAAGAGAACACTTTTCTGACATGATACAGTGAAGACTGGCATTGGATTGGGGTGGCAATCTCTCAGTGCAAAGAGTCGCCTAATATCCCTGAGCCTTCATCAATAGCTTGCTGAGTGCCAATGCTCTATCAAGAGCTATGGCTGGGTCTAAGGGCAATAAAAACTCCAGTTCACAGACAGGCAAGAAGGCTCACCTGCTCCCTCTTGTCAATATGTGTTGGTGAAGATACATTGGAGTTGGCCTTGTGCGTTGGCAGCAGTAGCAACAGCCTGGCTTCTATTATACAGGTGGAAAGACAGCTATTCCTTAGATCCTAGGTGGAGCAAGCAGCACCGACATGATGCTAGACTGTGACAGGCAGGGGCGATCAGGACACTGCCATTGGTCTGCTAAGGACCAACACTGTTATCTATCTATTGTACAAGTCTCAAAAGATTTGGTGATTTCCAGTGCCTGCTTCTCTCTTCAGTGATAAGAGTGGCATCCCTCTCAGACCGACACTCTTGAGGGCTGTTCAAGCCACCGAGTTTTTTAAAAAAACTGCGTGAAGAAACACAGCGGTACCAATTCACACACTTGTTCAGCAGATAGGTAAATGTTCCCTGTGATAACTAAACCCTTCTTCTATCTGCATAAAAAATTGCACAAGCCTTTCTGGTTTTGGTTAAGAAGTGGGGGTTTAGAACTAGTATATGCACTCCTAAGAAACCCATTTACTTTGTGTGCAGGACATTTCAATCAGTAGGTAACTGCCAAGCATAAAAGCAGCTATTTGTTCTTGGGCAAAGGATCCATATGTAGTGGCCTTCATTTTATGCTGCCATATCTACTGGGCCAACCAAAACTGACACAAGCCAGCAAAGTCCTCAAAAACAAATCAGACAACATCATTCAGGCCATGGGAAAGATCCATGAGATAATTCCTCTTCTTATGGCCCATCCTATTTTCCTCAGATTCTGGCTCCTTCCTCCTTTCAGGCAAATATTCATATTTTTTCTAGCACACCCGCACTGCACTGATTTCACTGCAGTAAACACATTCCTAGTAGACTTTGGGTTTTCTACACAAAGACTACAGCAGGTGAATGGCCACATGCTTTCCATTTAGTGGCGGTTAGGTCAGTAGCATACCTTAGCTCTGGGGGGAGGTGGCCTTCTGTGGATTACCACTCCATATTACAGACCCCGAAATGGGAAAGTCCAGTGCCAAATGACAATTGGTCACAGGAACCCTCCTGTCAGCAACAGTCTCCATAATACAACACCACTGCTTCCCTACATTTTAATGGTTTGATATTAGCTCACACTCTTCTAGCTCAAGAAAATAGATATTTTTAAAGAACAAACATTTGAGCCAGTGCTTTTTCTTCACCTCAAGGCACCTTTTTGCTCCCAAGGACAAAACATTTGAATCAAGACAACTAGCATCACTTTCATGATATGTAATTCCCCTTCCCCACTTTGTTTTTTAGTATTACAATTTAATCAGCTCCATGGAGAAAAACAGGAGGAAGGAACAAAGGAACATAGATCCATTTGGTATCAGCTTGTGGCTGGAAAAGAATGGCTCACCACAAAGACAACCCAATGCCACAACAACCATGGACTGAATGTCTCAGGTTTGCGCCTCCTGTCAAAAGGAACCTCCCTGTTTGGTAGGAGGATCTCTGTAAAGCCAGCACATCTTACTCCAAAAATCCCCAGCAGATGGTGACTCTGTCTAGATTGGGCAAAGGTGACCCATTTCTGGCAGGTGTGCAGGGGAGGAAGAGTCTTGGCATCCTCAAGGTGTTGGCACGCAGGAAGCAGCTACTCTGGAGCAGGCACGCATAAGAGGGATTAGAATACCAAGGCATGCCACTGAGTGTATAACACTTCCCCCATCAAGTAAGTCGGTGGTCAGGCAAGAGGAGGATGCCTGTAAAACATGCATGCAGGTGTCAGTTTGTTCTGATTGAGCCATGTTAGCAGCACATGGTAGGAGAATCCCCAGAAGAACGGGCCAGATTTGATCTTCAAGTTGAATCTGCAGAGAAAAGGGGGTCTGAAGGGGGTCGTCAGCAATTTCTGGCATAATGGCTCTAGAGGGCAAAAGAATGGACTGGGTTGGAAGATCTATGCACAGATTGCAAGGTCTCATTCTGTTTCAGGGTTGGAAGGAACATAGTTGGCAAATAATTTCAAAACCAGAGCTCTCAAAACCAAATTCAAGTATGTGCTACATAGATTGGGTGGTTTCTCTGCCTGAATTGGTATATTCAAAGTGATGTCTTTGGAGTGCCCAACACCACTACCACCAAAGATACCTAATGGGGGCAAGGGAAGAGTTCCCTTTAACATTCTGAATCAATCTTCAGCAAGAACTTGTCCTATGTGCCACATAAGATAGGGTTCTATGGACTTCTCAAAGGACATGTCTACTCTGGCTAGGGAGAACCAAGCATGGTTTCTCCATAACTGATAAAGGAAGTCTGAATAAGACCCAAATACCATCATACAACCCTGTTTCCCAGTAAGGCTAGATTCCTGTTGTTCCTAGCATTTCTGTTGAGTAAAGGAAAGAGGTCACCTCACCCTTTGAAATGAGAGTCCATTTTTGGTAAGATATCTAGATGAGAGCTTTGACAATCATCTCCAGGCAACCTGGTGCTATGAACAAGACACTACTGCCAAGGCAGCTGTAAAAGCCCCAACCAGGAACAATCATGGTCTGGTCAAACCCTGCACCATGTTGCACAGGCACTGGAGAAGATGAAGAGAAGATAAAGACAAAGCACATGGGGCTGGGGTTGGGTTGGGTAGGGTGTGGAGAGTAATAAGCCATACTAAGGCTGGCTCCAGAAGGTATGTTAGCAAATGGTCTGCCTGGGAAATTGGTAGTGAAATGCAGATCCTTCTCACTTTGCAGGTGCCCTGCCCCATCCAGGTACAAAACCAAATGGCTCACCTATTGGTGGAAAGGGCCCAAGCCACAGGGCACCTGGAGTCTGAGAGGGCTGCTGGACCAGCCTCAACTGTGACTGCCAACCACAGTCCTTCCATGAAGATGGCAGGGTGATATTCTGCACATTGTGAGCCATCTGAGAGAGTTTGGATCCAGGGAGTTTGGGGACAACAGAAATCACCAATCAAGGAGAAACACCAGGAAACCCAAAGAGGATCCAGCAGGGCAGATGGCAGGCAGGTGGACAACCAATGACCAGAGGGATGGAGCAGAGCAAACCAGCCCTCTCTAGGTGGCAGCCTTTCTACCTGCACTGGGGTTGGGGGAAAGGAAGAACACTGGGAGGCCCTCAGCACCAACAGGTTGTCTTGGGAGGATGCTCTGTGCCCTCTGGTTTGCTCGTGTCTTCCTCCAGCTCAACCAGGTTCAGTTCGTCAGCAGTGTATGTGCGAAGTCCATCCAGCTCCTTCTTGTGGGCTTGCAAGACCAGCTCTGTCAGACGAGTGAAAGACTGAAAGAGAATGGGAATGAAGGAAGCAATGATCATCCCTACAGTCTGGATACTTAGGTTTAGCTCAGTTAGCAAATAAGTCCACAGATATTACTAGTCCACAACCTGAATATTCACCTGCCTAGAATATTTTAGACCTCAGGGCTATACTGGAAACTGTTGGAGATTTCTTTCCCTCAAAGTTTAGCTTAGCTTCCTTACCTGGTAGCAATTTGAATAGACTACCGAGATGTATACCTTCTGTGCATCTTGTTTCCTTTTGAAAGAACTTATAGCCATTTGCAAAAGGACTTGTAGTCAATTGTAAAAGGAACCTCCAACTTTAGACCATCAGAAACACATGCTTGTGTGTGAGAGCATAATTTTAGAGACTTAAAAAAAAAAACATTATCCAAAATTTACTTGGGCTATTGCAAATTTGTAACCTAGAGTTCTGCACATATAGTTATTTTGTATTCACAATTTCCATGTAACCTCTAGTTGAGGGGATACATAGAAACCATAAAAGTGCCCCAACTCCCACCTAATGTGCAGCAGCCACTGTGATGGATGTGCATCTGCCTCCCTGTTGATTGGGAAGCAGCTGACTGACTCTCCGTGAGTGATTTCTGGCATGAGGGGCAATTGCAGTAGGACCCCTACTTCTGACTGTTGCAAAAATTCTTCACAGGGGGAAACAGATCCAAGCAATCAATAGGAATTGGAGTGATTTGGGGTGGCATTCACCATGTAGGACCATATCTATGCTGCTTTGCAATTTGTATCTCTCCAACAAAATTCTGGCCATTATCTTCAATAGACTACACTATCAACTGGTTAAATTACAGCTTATTTATGAAAGTTTTCACTTCTTGCAAAATGTATTTAGTTTATTTATTTAATGTATCTCCCTGCCTTTCTATTGGCACAAGACGCAAGGTGATTCACATCAAATTAAAAACAAAGCACAACTAAAACCAATTGATACAAAAGCTAAAAAACATTAAACAGTTCTATTATCCACAGTTTAAAGCACATTAAAACAGTAAAAATATAAAAGCATGACACACCCATTAAGAGATCCATCTGTCACAACATCTGTCCTGCTCAAATAAAAGGTCTTAGCAGGTAGATCTAATCAGATACTAACACAATTTTTGAGTCAAAATGATTTCAATGCCGGAATAACACGTGCATTTAAATATTTCCCAATGAAATTAGTAGCTGAATCAGGTTATATTTATGTACCAATTACACACTCACCCAAACACTACTGTTCCAGTAGTGGCTCGGCCCTGCCAGAAAGCCACTCTCCACTTATGCAAAGCAAGGCACTCAATTTTCATTGATCTGCTGCCAAGTGTAATACTTGAAAAACTGCTTTTTAGGGTGGGCAGATCATCTGGACCAGAAATGGGATATGGCACAGAGGGAAGCTGTGTGTCATTGAAGCCTGGATCCCCTATCTTATGCAATAGAAACACTTCCAATGGTCCAAAACCACTACTAAAGTCTACAATAAATGAAATACATCCATTTAATTTTTTTACCATTCTCTCTATGTTAACATATACAGTATTTTAATTAGTTCTCCTTCCCAAGGTTGGGACAACTTCTGGATGCTGCAAGTGAAAAATTCCTTTGTTCCTCCTTTTCGATTTGTTCTGAAGACAGTTTAGTGACCCGGAAACCCACATGCTCAGAAGTTCCTCTAACCTCCTTGATGTTCTTACCTCCTTGATGTTCTGGTTGGTGCAGGCACTTGTTTCATAGAAATCCATGCCGTATTCCTTAGCTAGCTGCAAGACAGAAGGCCTAACTGGTTTACACACAAATGCCATGTTGATGTTTCTCTAAGTTAAAGCTTGTGCGCCAAGTGCGACCATACCTCGAGAAGTCTGACTTGGTCATGGTGGGCATGCTTTAGTTACCTCCAGATTGGATTACTGTAACACGCTCTACATGGGGCTGCCTTTAAAGATGGCCCGGAAATTGCAATTGGTACAAAGGTCGGCATCCAGGTTGATAATTGGAGCTAACTGTAGCGAGCAGACAACCCTCCTATTAAAACATCTCCACTGGCTACCAATAAGTTTCCAGTCCCAATTCAAGGTGCAGGTCTTGCCTATCTTCTTAATCTTCAATGTGTCTTTGATTAATCGGTTCATCTATTGACTAGGCCCCCTAGCCCGAACTCATTGTCTGGCCTTGTAGCACTTTATTACCCACCCTGCCCTACAGCTGTATTGTACTAGCCCTTGCCCCGCTTTTCTTGATCTGAACACATCCACAGTTCTTGGCTGATTGATGATGATGATTATTGTTGTTCTTATGTTTTTATGATGTCTGTTGTTCGGTTTTATTGTTTTAATTATTGAAATGCAATGTATTTTAATTGTGCTATATTTTACTCCTGGTTTTGCTGGGCTTGGTCCCGCTTGTAAGCCACCCCGAATCCTTTCAGGGAGATGGTGGCAGGATATAAGAATAAAGTTGTTGTTGCTATTTTTATTGTTATTATTATTATTATTTCCTTCCAATCCACCAGTCATTTTCTTTCCCCCCTCTCCCTATCCATTTAGGAAGGCGACTTATGTAGGGCTGCCCACAACTAGAGCTTCCAAAGGTGGTAGCCTTGGAGTGATGCTTTATCGCACAATATGCCTTTCATTACTGTTGGATTTGAAAGCTACTAGGCTGAGATCAGAGCGTGAGAAATAAACTTTTTTTTACTATAGTTGCTAGAGACTCCAAACTAGCCTAGTCAAGGTCTGACTGACATTCAGATCTAGTCTTCAGCTCTATATTTTGTAAAACAGCAATCAAGCCAAAAGTAGATCCTTTTCTGTATAGGGTCTGGATTATGTCTATGCTTCATATTGCCTAACCATGCCACTTTAAATTTCAAGGGGTGATAGTGACCTCAAATGACTGAATGCTCCTCCATTAAAAACAAAGCAAAGCAAAATCCGCGCACACAGGGAGAATGGTTCCTAACATGCCAGTTTTCCCTGTGAAGGAATTCTGGTTTTGCTTTGCTTTGAATATGGAGCAGCTAGGCAACCTTGTGCAATCTGATATAGTATAGTTGAGATAGTACAGTTGAGCAGATTTATTAACTCATTTGCTCTTAGTGTGGATTTAGACTTGGTGAATGATGACTAGAACCAATATAAGACACTTACCTGGAGGCCTTGCTCTTTCCCAACTTGCCTCTTCTCTTCCTCATCTGCTTTATTCCCAATGAGGATCTTCTGGACACCTTCTGGAGCATACTGGAGAGAAGGGAAGAAACATTAGCATACCCCAGCCCACACAGTTTGGCAGCTGCATAAAAGGAGAGCCATAAGGTATTACTCAAATTTGTGATGACCATACGGCCAACTGACCTGGAGAATTTTCACAAATCAGTTTATTCACCTGTTGCAGACCTACCACTGGAAAAAAGTAACTTTCCAACATATTTTTGACCGTTTGCAGCTATTAGAAGCAACACTTCTAACAGCACAAGCCTTAAGGAAATGAAGCTACTGTAGATTGAAATAGGCCAAAGCCACTGAAAACTACAAGATCTTGGGAAAGTGAGAGAAGAGCAACTTGGATCACAGAAGTCACCAGAGGTTCATATCATCTCCTTTAGCCCAACTTCTTTCATGTTCAGTGCATAGCCACAGATTATAGCAATGTGATGCAATTGTTAGAATGATGGACTGGGATCTGAGAAATCCAGGTTCTATTCTCCACTGAGACATTGAATTCATTAGGTGCCTGGGGCCAGTCACTTACAATTTTTCTCTCCCTCTCTCTCTGCCTGGCCTTCCTCAAAATGTTGTTGAAGATAAAAATGAGGAGAAGGAGAGACATGTATACTGCCTTGAGCTTACTGGAGGAAAGGTGAGAAATAAACTGAATATAGAAATAGTTGCTGTGAGCAAGTGTTGAAGAAGTCTCAAAGGAAATATCTAAACCCCCTCAGGTTAATACCTTGGAAAATGCTTGTGGGTATGTGCAAGAGTACAACCACAAGACCAAGGCACTTACTGCCATGACAGAAGACAGAAGTATTTATTAGATATTCTGCTTTCTTGCTGAATAATCTTTTAGTTTGCACAGTTTATCATACAAGTTTGAGAAAGTATAACCACAAGAAAGTCCATTTTATTAGAAGCAGAGAGACACTCCAAAGGAATGCAAGTGGATCTCAAATATAATTGGGCTGCCCTTGGGATTCCTTAGTTTGTTTGGTACTGTTTCATTATCCGGGYGGCGGCCAAAAGGGGACAATTGACAGAGAAGAATAATCCATTTTATGGGGGGGGGGCAGGGGGTTAGGAAGCAAAACCATTTTCCCCTATGCTTCTGTTCCCCCCCCCCCACACACACACACCCATGTCGCCGTCGTCAAAATAACTCTCATTTATGACATGGGAAGTGTGTGTGTTGTGTGTGTGTGTGTGKGGGGGGGGGGGKTTGGGGAATAACCAGCCAAAATGGGGAAATGGTTTTCCTCCTTCAACTACGCCCCCCCCCCCCAAATAAAATAGGCTATCCTTCTCTGTCTAGACCCCTTTTGGAGTCTGCCCAGATAATGGAACAGTACCGTTTGTTTTAATCTTACAGTCCGGAGCTACCAAGTACTGAATCACATGTATAACTTCTGTGTGTGCAAATGTGGGCACGAGCAAGCACACACATTCATGCCACCAAGGCTTCTTGTGCTGAGATGCATGCCTCTGAGTTGCTGCAATACATTCATTTTGTCACAACATCATCTTTTTTTCAAACATCCCTACCACATCAGGCATGAGTAGGAAGCAAAGGGACCTCCTCTACTTACCTCATCCACATCACTGGCCCATTTCATTATGTGCTGGTAGGAGCGTTCACTACTAATGTCATACACCAAGAATATTCCCTAAGAAGAGATCAAGAAAACAATGAAGCAAGAAGAAGGCAAGAAGCCTGTTGTAGACATGATAGGAGAAGAATTCCACTGAGGAACTTCCTAGCTGCCCCTCAAAATTGGCTGCAAGCTATTCCACCATGGGGGTCAACAAAAGAGGGTTGCATTCCCATTAATGCCAATGTTCTGTGTCTCAAAAAAGACATTAAGGTCTTCAGGGGCAAATTCCAGACCCAGTTTGCAGGACATCTCCCTGGATTTCAGCATAACCTTTTCTGGCATGAAAAGATGAAGGGACGCACGAATCCTTCAACAGTTTAGCAATGTGTTCTTTACAAGAAACCCCCTCCCTCTCCAATTTTTAGGCATGTAAGAAAAAGCAATTTTACCTGTGCTCGTCTGTAGTACTGTTTGGTGATGGTCTGATAACGTTCCTGACCAGCAGTGTCCCTTGAACAGAAAAACAAATCATTACAACAAACACAGATTTCCATGTGTTTACAGATTTTCAACTCTTACGTCTTCGGATAGTAACATGAGCTTGGGTGGGTGGAAACTTGGGTGGGTGGAAACTTTGATCTTCCACATGGTTTGGACCTTGAATCCTAAAAACAGGAGCCAAAATGATAATGGCAAGGCCTTGTGGAAGTTATCATATTCTTCAGCCCAGGTATTGTAGAACATTGAGAGTGCTGAATGTTCTCTGCCTCTCCCATATGACATGCCTCTATGGTAATGTTGAAGAATGGGAATTCAATAAACTTAGAAATAATTGTATTCTTTGGATTTTTAAAGTCCAATTCAGGGCTGAAGGATCTGCTGGGGGTGCTGCTATTGGGGAGGGAAGACAAAATGAAGGCATGATCCACCCCAGAAGAATTCTGCGCTTTCTGAAATTTCCGCAAATTTCTAGTATTCCAGTAACTTAAAATCTCAGTTGCATATTGAGAAATACAGTTTAGACATTCAAAAAAGTTGCAGGCAAAGTTACCAAGGGAATGTAAACAAATAAAAGAGTTTCAGGTTTGAACAATTTTCAGTGTCTCATGCCTTGTAATGTCAGATATTTGGAGACAAATGAAAATTTTATTTGGGAATTCTTGAGGAGGCAGAATGTCCTCAATTTTGCCCCCCCCCCCCCCCCCCCCCCGGGATACAGAAGGTATCAAACTTGATGGCATGCTCTTATGTGAATTATGCCTCTACTTCAAACCCAGTAAGAAGAAAATATACAATTCTATGCTCAGGGCTGAGTATATCTGTGCACATAGCTTTATATAACTATGTTTTTAAAGGTTTTCTATCTAAAATATAAGACATAGAAGAGGAAGGGAAACAATCAGAACAGTAATCATTACACACGTGCATGTAACTAACAGGATGAGCTCCATATAATCCAGGGAGGGAGAGAGGGTAATGAAGAGCAGCTCATCCAGATGTCTAAACCCAAGTAGTTCTCTGTTATAGTTCGTAGAGTAAGCAGCATGAGTTGGAAACATTGTTAAAGAGAAGAGTTTACTAACAGTTGGGATCAGATATGTGGACACACTGGATCACATGGAACCTGAGATCCCCTCAGTAACATGCACATGTGTAAATATATCTGTAAAGGTTTCCCCTTGACATTAAGTCTAGTCGAGTCTGACTCTGAGGGATAGTGCTCATCTCCATTTCTAAGCCAAAGAGCTGGCATTGTCCATAGATGCCTCTTAGATCATCTGGCTGGCATGACTGCATGGAGTGCCGTTGCCTTCCCGCGGAAGCGGTACCTTATTGATTTATTCACATTTGCATGTTTTCGAACTAGGTTGGCAGAAGCTGGGGCTAACAAAGGGAGCTCACCCCACTCAGAACTAAGTTTAGTTGTAAGTATAGAGAGAACTAAGTTCTGGTGCAAGATCTTGGCCAGAAGAACCAATCATATTCTAAAGCAGTTGCACCGATTTTGTACCCCACTTTTTTCAACAATGAATCTAGTATTGGTTGGATGCCAGGAAACCACTGAATCCAAAAGTACTGAGACTGATTTGCAATAAGCGGCAATGGTGTAATCATAAAGCATGAGTTTGTTCTTGCTTTTACAGTCTATTTTATGACAGACTTGCTCTTTGACTCACAAATGGTCATCATTACTGTTTAAATGTGCTTTGATTCCTGTACGGCAGGACTGGATGTCCCTTGTGGTGATTCTTTGACTCTATGACTAACATTGTCGCAAGGTGATTTCCCTGCAGATGCACCCAACAATACATACTATACACTTAAGCTTTGGAAATGGATGTTATTTGCATGCCACCTGCTGGACAGAATTAAACCTACTGCTAAGAAACTATTTCTAAGCAGTAATCAGAAAAATGACGTTTTTGTTGAGAAACACAAACCCAAATAATTATTTTCCATTTCTAGGAAAGATAGTAGGATACCTAAGAGACTAATTAAAAGCAAAACTGGCGTCTTGCTGTTCATGCATGGTATGGCATACCTCCTGAGATTGGGAGTGGGATAAAGTACAACTTTGCCTTGAAAAATCTGCATATTTAGAAGGCTTATGATACACTTTAGTGCAGTCAAATGTTCACAAAATCAAACATTTATTTGGAAAATGTGTATATCAAAGCATATGTTGGTCCCAAAATCCTCAGCGAGGCACACCGTGAAACTGTTTTGAGAGCATTTGTTGTAATGTTTATTTATGTTTTAGTGAATTATGTCTTACTGACTATTCTGTTATATTTTTATCTCAATGCTTAATCCTTCATGGTAAACGCAATGTTATTATTGTGCTCTATGGTGTATTTTAATATGTTTTTGATACGTTAGGCATTGAATGTCTGCCTTCTTATGTGTAAACCGCCCAGAGTCCCCTTCGGGAGAGTGGGTAGTATAGAAATAATAATAATAATAATAATAATAATAATAATAATAATAATAATAATTATTATTATTATTATTATTATTATTATTGCATCTGCAAAATGCATGGGCATTCATTGATCAAATAGGAAAACATATTAAGAAGAATAGACAGGCGTAAATGCATAGACAAATAATAATGTTAGGGGGAAATAGTCACAAATCTCCATGCTGGAAGAGAGGAAAGGCCATGCACCACAGTAAAGTACTAAGATGATACTAAGTGGGATTATGAGAACCAAGAGAAGACTGACAGATTTTCAGATCTGCCTACTCTCCTCCATCAGTGTTGGAATACATACAACCCCTGTTTAAAACCAGATGGCAATACTTAATTCAAAGATGCTCCCATTTCTGTTACATAAGGGAGGAATGTGTTCTTTTTTTAATGGTCTAGAAAGGACCTAGGAGAGTGCTAAACATAGATACTCATACCCACAATTAGAAAAATAACTACTGTTCTTATACAGCCACCTATGGAAAACTTACATCACTCCAGGAATTGGGAATGTTTTTTTCTTTCTTTCTGGTAGTAATTTCCAATTGGTATACTGTCTGGGAGATTGTGGATGCTGTTGTTCAAGAAGCCAACAAGAACAACAAAACATTCCCAGTACCAGTCTTACAAAATACTGGATCTGTAGGATACTTTAGATTTAGTATGTGGATTAACTTTACAAATCACATGTAAATTGAGTTGCTGTTTTCCTATCCTTATAGACAAAATGCTGAGAATATGTGCTTTGGCCAAGTTCACATAATTATTCCACAGCAAAGAACTCTTATCTGCTCGCCCAAATATGTTCAACCTCCTTTCTGAGGATTTGTGTCAAAATACCTAGATCACTTACCAGATCTGTATTCGAACTTTAATTCCATCTACTTCAATAGTCTTCATTTTAAAATCAACCCCTAAGAACAGAGAAAAGAAATGGCATTGACAAAGGTTACTTAGAACTAACCAACACATTATAATGTATGTCATTATGTTCTCTATTGTTTATAATATATACATGGTGACCTACAGGGAACTATGTACATACAAACATGTGCACATGATATCTTCTTGATATCTAGTTTCCCCTCATTCCATTGCTCAGATACCCATCTGAGCTATTTGCAGAGACCATTCACCTATTATGTTAATATACAAGCGACATTTGCACTGACTCACTTTCATACACAACCTAAATGTAGATCAATGTAGTACAATCTGTCTGTTCCCTACTGAAGTATTTCTTACCAAACAACACACAGAAGTAGAGAAGTCGGGGGAATATTTTCTGATGTCATATTTTTCTATGGAAATGTCCACACCACAAATGCATCCCTGCGTGCAGATGCACACATACATATATGTACATTTACCCATAGTTGTCTGAGGTGTTGTAATTCATTCAATCTTTAAGTGAAATGGAATGTTTGACCATTTGTATTGAATCATATTTTTCCTCAACTTAAAATGGAATTGAGTAAGTGAAATGTAACATACTACAGTATATTAGGGTGGTAAAAAAAAAATCACCTCCAGACACCTCTGTGTTTCTGTTTACTTCTACATGGTTCACTTGATCTGATTGTTTCATTTCACATGTACATATGGCTTTAAAAGTTCATATTGAATTAAAAGCTTTTCTGGAGCATATTCAACTGCTTTGTGTGCGTGTGGAGTTATTCCTACCTTTGGTACCAAAGCTTCTGTTAAAGAAGTAATGTCCAGGAACACATCTAGTTTATTAAATGAGGCATATGTATACCTCTAAAAGTACCTCTAAAGCTGAGCATATGGCCAGGAAAGCCTGATTTCACATCCTGGCTCCCAAAATCTTTCTGAAGAAAACTAGATAAAAAAACAAAACAAAAGCGAAAATGAAGAATGATTTTTCTAAATTCCTATTGTGGCTGCTTGCCTGCTCTGCCAAAGGGACAGGGACCTCCTTGCAGATCAAGGACTGTATTAGAAATTCCACAGAAGTGGCACACACACACACGATGTGTGTTGCATCCTTGAAAGGACCACCCATAATGTACAAAAAGTGTCATCTGAGAAACATCTCAGCAATTAAACATGCAGAAGTGAAACAACATCTACCTGTAGGTCTAACCAACTCTTGTCCTTTCTCTTCATCTTTTATTTTGGAATGGGATGCTTTTTACTTCTAACTGTTTTACATTGCAGCTCCCACAAACCTTTCCATTAGCCATTTTGGCTTCGCCTTTGAAGTTGCAATCCAAACACTTGAATGATCAAAGTTTCCTTTAATAGGGAAGCTTCTTAAAATATGGCTAGTATATAGGCCACTTGAGGAACTACGATGGTCAAACACAAAAGGCACCCGTAATATACTAAAGTTTTAAATCCCAGGGCAGGAGCATATGTCTTATAGGCTCTAGTACAGTGGGCCTTGTTTTGGCCTACAACTCCAAGCTAGTTTAACAGATGTTAGGATTTCTGGGAGTTGAAGGCCAAAACATCTGGAGACCCACAGGTTGAGAACCACTGCTCTCATATATTCAGCTAGAGCTTGGAAGCACCTCTACTTGAATCTCTGGAAATCCTGATCAGAATAGAACTCATGGAGCCTTCCAGATGTTGTTAGCCTGAATTCTCAGAATTATTCACCATGGCTTATGTTAGCTAGGACTGCTGAGACTTGCAATCCAACATCATGAGGCTGCATTCATTTTCACTCATGATACAAAAAAGACTGAGCTAAATGGAGGAACATTTGACTTAATTTCAGGCAATTTCCTGTGTGCATTAACTATAATGGACATAAATGGAAACATTAAAGAGACAATTAATCTGCAGTTAACATAAACAAAAAAGAAAAAAGAAAATCTCTCTCTTTGTCTGTTGTTATCATCATCTTCACCCTCCTTTGCTTATAAGCTTCCCAGAAGAATCCAGTAGGCATTTAAGACTACGAGCTGACCTCAATGGGCCTCTGGTTTAACTGAGCAAAACAATTCTTACTTTCTTCCAAAAGGATTCTGAAAGTTATATTCCAAAAAGATAATGTTCCCAGTTTCTGCATTCTTCAAGATAAGCCTCTTGATCTAAGAAGAAACAGATTTTCTCCTTGTACCTAAAAAATTGCACAGTTCTTTTGCTGGTGACTCACATAACACATACAATTCATGCCAGGGACAATTTCTTTAGCACCCTGTAAGGCATTTTCCCCACATTCTGGGGTCACGACAGAAAGAACCTCATTACCTTGACGCAAATGAGGATGATGGGCCTGCATCACCAATTGCGTGGGAGCCTGGGGGATGTTTTGGAAATGATCCATGCCTCAAGGAATAGTAAGTGCAAGCAGGAAGAGATCCCATTATGCAGCTCTTCATACATCCTGCTACCTGGTGAAAACTGGTTGCAGCCAACCTGAGTGTGTTTTAAGTTCTAACAGAGTCAAGCAGGAGGTCACACTTGAACAACAAGCTTTTCTTAAAAGGCAGCACACCTGTAACTTCATTCCTCCATCACCTTGCTAATCTCTCATCTGGGAACTGAGCCCAGGGTATTATTCTCTGCCTACTCAGTCAAATGAAAGAAGCTATTTCAGAGATAGTATTTTAATCTATAAAGAAGTATAGAAAAAAGTAAACATCATCAAAAACTGTAGCATGAAGGTTTGCTTTGTTGCAAGCCCACCAATGATGTAATGGTGGATGCCCTTCCACTCTCATTGATTTTGACACAGAAATTATTGCTAGCAAAGAGTATTCTGTAATACAAGAAAAGTCATCCACGGTAGCTTTCTCCAACCTGACACCCTCCAGCTGTGTTAGCAACATTCACCCATCATCCCATGCTAGTGAAACTAAATCCCCTATGGGAAACGCATAAAACAGACACAGGACCTCATCACATTAGAGAATGTTGGTGTCCTTGGACACTTGCAGGACACCGGGAGGATGGAGCCTGCCGGAGGGCTACTTCTGGCAGGGCTCAGTGCTTCCAGAGTCCTGGAAGCATCATAGGACACTCACTCTTTCTCATAGGAAAGAACAGGGCAAATGCAGGGGGAAGTCGGGCGCACGAATCCCCTATTATCACCCACAAATTTGACCTCAATGTGATGAGGCCCATAGACCAGACAAGTCATTACCAGAATCAGAGCAACTTCTTGGAAATGTTGAGCAACCAATTAAGGTTAAAGGATTTCTGCAACATGGGACATGTGGTCTGTATGGACCCAAATAGCCACGTTTGGTTCTTATTATGGGAAGTTCCAAAAAAAAAAAACCCCACAACCACAACTATATGACATATTTGGAATATGCTAATGCAGGGTCATGACAGTGTGCCTCCAAGCTTCCCAGGACATTCCTAAAGACCCTGAACCCCACTCCCCAAAATTAAAAATATGAAGGCAAAAATGAAGTGGGTGAGCATTATCTGCACACACACCCCCCCCCCCCCCCCCCCCCCCCCCCCCCTACAACCAGTGGTTCTCAACCTGCGGGTCCCCAAGTGTTTTGGCCTACAACTCCCAGAAATCCAGCCAGTTTATCAGCTGTTAGGATTTCTGGGAGTTGAAGGCCAAAACATCTGGGGACCCACAGGTTGAGAACCACTGCTGTAAAGGCGTTAATTTTTAATCTCTAGCAAAATACTGGCACCACTACAATGGAAGTTCTCTTTGCACTGTAGGATTTATGCACTTTTCTCCATCGGTTTAATGCTCAACAGAGACAGTTACCACCAGAGGTTCCAATCATGCATACAATATCTTAGGACTTGCTCTGATGTTCTCTAGAAAACCATGCTTCATCTCCCTGGACTTCTGGGTTATGTCGAGGGGAAGTAGATCTATGTTCTCCTGGAAGAGGGCTGAAAATATGTGTTTCCACACTTGGAACATATTATCTTAAAGTTTACAACTCAGAAGTATGAAGAAAGAGGGAGCACGAGAAAAATCCAATTCCAGTCTATTTTCTTTTGACATTCAAAGGAGATACTGGTAGAAACAAACAATGAACATCCCAGTCCTACTCATGTGGATAATAATAGTAAAACTTCATTTGTAACCCACCCTATCTCCCCAAGCGGATTCAGGATGGTTTCCAACAGAAAAATGGCAAACATTCAATGCCAAAGATGAACAATAACCAATAAATAACCAAATTAAAACCAATAAACAAAATATAAGAACTTATAACAACAAAACAAGATATTCAAATAGTCAAGTAGAATGTAATCCATTCCTGATTTCAACAGGAATTAGTTCCAAGGAAGCATACTTTGTATTGTCTTGTATATTGTCGTTTATATATATATATCTTGAGAGATATGCAAATAGATCATGATCACAAATGTAGTGCAAAGTCCCTAGGAACCATTCTTTTGAAGCCATTTCAAACATTACATTTTTAGTGAGCAGCATGTACTGCAGGCTTAACCAGAACTGAGATCTTTTCAAGTCTTCCCTCTTCCCCAAAACACACACAGTAGATCTAGGTTTAAGAATGATTTATATCACTCAAAAAGCACTATGTTTGGCTCCTGGTCTTTTGAATTCTTTTCTTATCCCATTTGCTTCATTCACACAGATGGAAGCAACAATTTACTCAACTAGGTTTTCTTAGAAGAGATGCTTTCTCTCCCTCACCAACTCTGCTCATTATTCTTTAGCAGAAGTGGGGGAACTTCAACAGAGGAAAGCTCTGTAGACAGATGTGTGAAGACGGCAGCTCAGTTTTATGTGGACCTCAATTTACTTTGCAAATGATACCATATTTGAGTGTTGTGCCATCTAGTATGGGACACCACAGTTCGAATGCTTAACCAAAATATTTTTGATCAAAGTAATCTAGAACTTAACAAGGAAAAGGTTGCTTATTTCAGATCTATGAGTAACTGGTGCATGTCCACATAACCCAGTGTGCTGCAGTGGTTAGAACAG